GTTTCAGTGGGGATGTGTTTGGGAGCGACTGCAAAGTTGAATCCTTTGGAAAGGACATTGGTTTTGGCTTTGGTGAGGATCCTATCTGAGATGTTATGCACTGTTTGTTTCATGTGTGGCTGTGAGGTTATGAACACATCTGACTACCAAACCAAATTAACCAGCCTATTCCAAGACTCCACATACAATTCCTCAAAAATGTCCTGGGGCTGCTCCCCAGATCTGAATTCCATACAGAGTTTATTTGCCCCATTTGGGGTAGGTCTGTTGGCACCTCACACATTCTCATGCTACCCATGCAGCATCCATATGCACTCCCAGGCATACAAACAACCGCACCATGTAAACACCCTGGACTTTCTCTTCCCTGTGAGTCGTATCATGGAGGGAGTTACTGTATTTAATTACATGTTTAGATACAGTTCTTGAGAGAATGAGCTTTCCATGAAGTAAATCATATCAGCCACCAGATGTCAATGCAGCTCAAACCTCTTCAGCTAGGTGTAAACTGGTCTATCAGGAAGTTCAAAGGAGAGCATTAAAGACAGCCATTTCTTTCCAAAAGTTGGTGTGCAACAGCCTTAGCTGTCCCATCTGGCCTCCTGTTTCCTCTGGCTATTTGTGTGTCCTCCCTGGAATGGGCCCTAACATGCATTACGGCTACCTCAGAGGAAGCACCTCAACTTCTTTTACCAAGGCTAAAATTTCTTCTCATTGTGGGGGAAATTTAAAAATAAAAATATATATGCTTTTAGTATTATCATGTAATCATATTTTATATTTTATAATTATCATTGTATAATCAGTTGCCTGAGTAGATGCTTTGAGTATATAGGGAACATACAAGCCTCAGGTGGAGGAAGGGGGGAGAACAGGAGTTACCATGGGGCCCAGTGTGAGTCACCATCGAGGAATTGTTTTTAAGGACCTTCTGGTGCCTGGTACCCCTACTGGATCTAACAGGTGTAGAAGATGGGAGACATCTCTCCTCCAGAATTGATATAGGATAGTAGGGGAGTATAATGTATTCTGTTTAGGCGCTTCTGATAGATTGTAACCTCCAAAGCCTAAGCCAATGGGGCCATGGGGGAGGGAATGGGCCGTCGCGATAGGATGTATAATAATATGTGATTTTGGAATTTGGGGTGTGGTTCAGTGCTTGGCTACATTGCATTGCCTTAATCCACCATGCTTTGCAAACCATTATTTTTTTAGACTTGGATGTGAGGTCTAATAAACTTCCTTTCTATTTGTAACTCAGAGTGGATTTCAATTTGTGACTATTTTTGTGTCTAACATCATGTTTGATCGTTGCACTCTTCACAGTTAGGAATCCTCTTTCCTTTCACAGCTCCACGTGCATGCAAAACTCTAAAAGCCTTTTTGCTATCTGTATATATGCTGATTTTCTCACCCTGACCCAAATGTAAGGCTTTCATGAGGGCAATCAGCTTGTCCTTCTGAGCGAAAGTGTTAAGCGGAAGAGGATGGAGCTCTTTAATGTCCCACAAAGTGACTACTGCATATCCAACTCTTCCTTCCCCCTTTCCCATGAAACTGCTCCCATTGTATGAAACTCCTTGTTGGGATTATCGGTGGCTTGATAATCTTTCAGGTCAGGTCTGCTGGAGTAAACTTGATCAAGTATCTATGCATGCAGCTATGTGTTACTTCCTGTTCCACTTGGGGTAAAAGAGTGGCAGAGTTTAATTTTGCACTCACTATCAAACTCACATTTGGATTCTCCAAAGGGGGAGCTTGGTGTTTTGCCAACCTATTTCCAGTCAATCAGTGGGCTCCTTTATGCTTCAAAAGCTCCACCACTGCATGTGGACCTTGGACCCGCATTGTTCGTCCCAAAGTCAATTTTTCAGATCTTTTACAAGGAAATTAGTAGCAAGTGCAGCCCGTAGGCAGACAGCCATCTTATCTGTTTAGAGAAGTAAGCTACCAGCCATTCCCAAGACCCAGGTTTTGGGGTCAGAATTCCAATTGCAAATCCCAGCTACTCATGCGCAAACAAACAGAAGGGCTAGGTAAGTCCAGGGAGTCTCAATGCAGGAGCGGTTGACATTAATTCCTCAATTCTGATAAAGGCTTGATGGCATTCTTTACTCCAGGATAAACTCCTCATAAGTCTCCCTCCTTTGTTGCTTCAGAAAGTGGTTTCACGAGGAGGCCATAATTTGGGATCCAAGTGCAGTAGAACTCAGACATTCTCCTAAATCCCCAAAGCTGTTTGTGGGTCCTGGGTTCAGCCATATGGCTGATTGTCTCTGTTCTCTCCATTGCCTTTGATCCTGTGAAACACGAAACTCAGGTATTGGAAAAAATTCAGAGAAGAGCAACTAAGAAGACTCAAAGCCTGGAGACTAAAACATACAAAGAACGGCTGCAGGACTTGGGTTTGGCTAATCTAAAGAAAAGAAGAAATAGGGGAGACATGATAGCAATGTTCCAGTATTTGAGGGGCTGCCACAAAGAAGAGGGGGGTCACGTTATTCACCAAAGCCCCAGAGGGTAGGACAAGAAACAATGGTTGGAAACTGATCAAAGAGAGAAGCAACCTGGAGTTAAGGAAAAACTTCCTGACAGTGAGGACAATTAACCAGTGGAACAGCTTGCCCCCCAAAATTGTGGGCGCTCCATCACTGGAAGATTTTAAGAGGAAACTGGACAACCACTTGTCTGAGATGGTACATGTTCTCCTGCTTGAGCAGGGGGCTGGACTAGAAGACCTCCCAGGTCCCTTCCAACTATTCTATTCTATTCTGTTCTGTTCTGTTCTATCCTATCCTATCCTATCCTATCCTATCCTATCCTATCCTATCCTATCCTATGCAGTTGAAACAACTGAGCCTTTTCTTTGGACCCCTTATAGCTATGCTGAGCTAGATAACTCAGCAAGTCGATGGGTCCTTCTTTCCAGCTGTCTTCAGTGGATGCCCTGAGCAGGATGCCATCCACATCTTGAAGGACTGGGCATCTCATTGGGGGCACCATTTCCCACATCATTTTTAATGCAGTTCCAAAGCCAGTAGGGCTATTGTGAAAGCCATGGGGCAGCACTATCCATTACACTTGCATCGTGGTCCTTATCAGCTTTTCCAATTCAAAGGCAAAACACTTCTGAAAGCTTTCAGCTACCAGAATGCAAAAGAAGGAATCCTTCAGATCAAGCACCATATAGTACTTGTCTTAAAAGGACAATATTGCAAGGAAGGTATTTGGGTTTGGGTTTTGGGTGTAGGGTGAGGATAACCTTGTTAACTTCCCCGAGATCCTGTATAAATCTGTATAAATCCTGTAGAGCAGTGGTTCTCAACCTGTGGGTTGGGACCCCATTTGGGGTCAAACGACCATTTCACGGGGGTCGCCAAACAACGCAGTCCGCCATTCCCCCCCCCCTTTTCCTTAGCTGTGCTACTCCCTTTTTATTCTATTGGCTTTTGAAAGCCAATAGAATAGACTCTCTTGAATAGAGTCTAATTCTATTGGCTTTCAAAAGCCAATAGGAATTGTCCAGGCTGTCTCTGCCCTGCTGAGCCCGCCAAAAGTCCCATTCTGCAAACGGTGCTGCACCAGTTGAGTAGTCCTCGACTTACGACCAGTTGAGTAGTGCTCGACTTACAACCGGTTGGGGGTTGCGGCATTAAAAAGGTTGAGAACCACTGCTGTAGAGCCTTCTGTATCTTAAGCCTATCTTCTGGAGTTTTGGCTATTCCTGCCAGTTTTGTGTCATCTGCAAATTTGATGAATTTCCCATCTATCCCTTCATCCAAATCGTTGATGAAGATGTTGAAGAGCACTGGGCCCAGAACAGAGCCCTGAGGCACCCCACTACACACTTCCCTCCATGTAGATGCAGTTCCATTGAGGACCACTCGCTGAGTACGGCCGGTCAGCCAGTTACAAGTTTTGGGGCCTCTGGAACCCTTTTCTGACCAGAACAGTTGCTCAGCCCTGGGCAAGGCTTCTTTGGGGCAGCTTCTCTTCCCAGGAGCCCACAGGCCAAGGCTCTCTGCAGCAGAAGGCCCCCTGGAGTGCTGGGCAATGGTCTCTCAGGCCTCCCACCTTCTACCTGCTCAGAGTTCCAGGCCACTCAGGTGAGCCAGAGGCTTCCAACTGCCAATTCCAAAGAGATGCTTAGAGGGCAACTGCCATGCCAGGCTGGCAGATTGGTTTCTTGAAGGTTCCAGAAGAGTCTGCCACAGCAGGATGGCTGACATGGGGATGCCCTCAGTGGCCAGGAATACCCTCCTTAGTGCCCTGGAGGAGAGGCGGCGGCAGCAGATGAAGGTGTGGGGAGGCCAGAGGTCTTGGGGGGGGGTGCCTCTCTTCCCAGATGCTGGGAAATTCTGGGAGCTGAGGTCCACAAGTCTTAAAGTTGTCAAGTTTAGAGAGCCCTGCATTAGAGCATGTAAAACCATATGTACAGAGCATGGTTTATGGCCTAGCATTATGTCTGGATTCAGCATTTGGCTGAGGTTAATCAGGGCACAGTCACCCAATCCAGTGTGCAGGCACATCTGCAGGACATTAAAAATACCCATGATGATGGCTATCACCTTCGGGCCTTCATCCATGTGATAGCAACCACCATTCTGATTTTTTGACCCTCTCCTATTCAGACTGCTCTGCCATTTGTTTGGATTTGCATGACACACGGAATTATAAACTCACTACAAATTGCTGTAATGTTAGGCTAAAATCCAACTGCTTGGTGGTTCAGTGTGCTGAGGACAGAGGGTTGAATCTCCAGACTCTGCCTTCTAAGCTGGTTGTTTTCCCTTTTGAGCGTCCAGCTTTCTTTCTAGACTTTTGGTTTGGTTTTTCTGCACCCTGTATTTTGATGGATTTGGGGGAGACATACCAAAATATTTGTAAAAATAAGTGATGGATTATTTCTGCAAAATTGCACTGTTGACAGAGCTTCAAATAGTGGGGAAAACTAAGCCCTAAAGTGTTACCTAAATCTTCTGGTGCATTTTTTCCCACAGAAATATCTGCTTCACCGGCTGATCTTTGTCGCGATGCTGCAAGAAAATGCCAGTGAGGGTGAAATCACAGGTATTGCAGTTAGTCTCACCACGACCTTCGAAAGACTGAGCTTCCCTTGTTAAAGGCCATGAAGTCCCTGGATGCTCTCAGTGAGGGAAAGATTCCAAGATCTTACGGAAATCTGTGCTTGCCCAGGGATGATCCTCTCCCATAGCACTCTGACGTTTCCTGGCTGGTCAGATTTCTCCAAATGGGAAGGATTTCATGAGCCTTGCCTGTTTGGCTGAGGGGAGGTCTGTTTATCTCATTCTCACTCTCCCATCTCCATGGAAGATCAGTGTTTATCACTGTGAAGACAATGCTGGTAATAACCTTAATTTTGAATCCAGCCCTCTCAGGTAGACCAAACTAAGGAACAGATACCATGTAGACCTAAACCTACTTTTATCAGAACAACTGTAGTAACAGAGTCTTGCAAGTCTGAATGAATTTCCCTTCTTTATCTTCATGAGACTTGGAGGGGGTGACTGCCTGATGCATTTTTGTAATCCCCATTTTGGCTGGGGCTCAAGCCTCATTTATCTCATTTTGCCTTGCTGGTGGATCTTCCCTCTGTCTTTCAAGATCATCCTCTCTGTTCACTACAGGTGGCTTCTAATGCAGATTTACCACAGGGCTCAACAAAACACATTTAAACCAATATCAAATGTTTGCCAAGTTTATTTGTTCAAATGCAGAGGCCCTCCCGTTACTGCCTAATCACAATGCCCAGAAGCCACAGCCAGCATTGTCACTTTAGTTCAGCAACCCCTAGAAATCTAAGCTAATTCATCACTGGCCTTTTGCATCACATGCCCAATTGCGAAATTGTTTTTTGAGATAGGTTAATCCATTAGTATGGTTGTTTATCTTTGACTCATCAGGCATAACACTGTCTCCTCCGCAGCCTATAGGCAGATGAAGCAGGTCCTGCTGACACCAGTGAGAAAGGTGGGAACAAGCCTCGTCCAGCAGGCACTGGACGCCTGCCCTTCCTCCCACCCCATCTGTTTTTTGAGGGGATTCTGAGCTGATCTCTCTGTTGATCTTTCCTGTTTCCTTTTTGAAGATTATCATGAACAGCTTTTCCAGAAGATTTCACGATCCCATTTGGGGGAAGCAGCCTCGGGAGTCCTTCTCATCTACTCCCAGAGCATACTCCACATTCTGGAGGTAAGTCAAGCAAATATTTAAGAGAAGATGAAAAATCCTTTAGCTGAATTGTGTTGGGATTTATAACAATGCCGACAAAACCTACATCCAACTTAAGCACCAATCCGTAAGCATACATAGTGATAATATTACAAGCACAATGTAGTTTGGCCATTTGCAGAATTAAGCAAACTCCCCACCAGAAGCTTCTGAAAACACCACTTCCAATACAGAATAAGAGTTGAGTGGAAACACCTTCAGAACCTCAGATCCTGATGCTCTTCCATTCCCCTCAGGCCTCCAGCGGCACCCTCTACCACATCCTCATGGACCTGGCCCTCTTTGAACATCAGGGAGCAGCGTAAGTCAAGCAAGTCCTCCAGGGAGAAGAGCGGGAGGGAGGCATCTCAGCCATGAGGCAGAGGGGCCTCCAAGAGATGCCAAGTCTACCTGCACAGTTGGGTTGGAAAGGGATCGTCTGAGGAATGGATGATGCTCTTGACTCAAAGATTGGCTTAATGACTGTGCTTTTATGGTTAAAAAACCCCAAGGTGAAAAATAATATTTAAAAATGCATTTAGAGTTAAGTTAAAATACAAGGTACAAACTGATAAACAGAGCATTGTATGACCTCTTCACCAGTACTCACAGATGGTTGATGGCTTTAAAACAGCTAAAAACAAAGCAAAAAAAAACTAAGGGAAGAAGTGGCAGAAAGCAGAAGGCCCAGCGGCACCAATAGGAAGAAAAGCTTTCCATCCCTCCCCGTATTTGGGTGTGCAAATAAGATAGGGAAGAACCCCCCCCCCCAGCACTGAAGATGTTACTTAGTTTGGTAATGAAATGTCTGCAAGAAAACAACCAGAGAGCAGCAAAAACCCCATGATGGAGAAAAATGTCACCTTATCTAAGGGATGGGGAATCTATGGCCAGTCAAAGGTCACCAATCTACAATTCCTGGGCAACCTGAGTGTCTCTTTGAGTGTCTTGGATGGGCATCGGCCTTTAGTAACTTCTGGAGGTCATCAGAGTCTTCATCCCTGTTTTCAGAGACGGATAAAAGCACAACTAAGATGTTCAGCCAAGAGAGCAAGGTTATAGGCTCCCGAAGACCTGTGGTTGGATCAGGAGGCTTGGTCTGATTCAGAGGGCAAGAATTTCTAAGCAGACTTCAGAGAAATATCTAGATTTCTCCCTTGATCTGGATGGCTAACATGACAACTTACTGAAGCCATCAACATCCAGTTGGAATAAAAACATCCTGTATCAAATCTGGAAGAGACGGGTTTGGGTCATCAATTGGAAGGATCCTGCCCCCGAGGAACTGGTTCTTAGCCTCTCTGAAAAAGTTCTATTTTAAATATACTGCCTTTCCCCAACTGCTGACAGGTTTCTTGTGGATTTTTTCCACTTAGTTTTTATCCTGTTTTTAACCTTATGTTTTCATAATTATTGTAAACCACCTCAGGAGTTTTAGAACAGGAAGCACTATATAAATACTTGGAAGGAAGGGAGGCAACCTCTCACGTCCATGGGCAATGTAGTCAGTGTCCTTGATGTGACCCCCGTCATTGGTAGGTAGCTACAAGCCTTAAATATTTTGATTTTGATAGAACATGGATGCAAGAGTGTGCATAATGTGTGTGCAAAGACCTATGGGTTTAATACGGTTTCTCTCTCCCTTTTAGGGCTTTATTGCGAGATATTAAGATATTGGTAATGTCTCATAACATCCCCACCAGACTTTTCTCACAGTGGCATGCCACCAAAGTGGAAGTGCCTGTAACTTTGGAAGATGTTACCCAGAGCCAGACCACAGAAGAAGTTATTACTGAGTGTCTTACACTCATTCTCAAGCTGGGAGTGTATCTTGCAACACTCAAGGTGAGAGTAGATCCCTTCCGCAGTTCTCTCTCTGGCATCAGGTTGATTTCCCCAGGACAAGCACTGTTCATCCAAAATAGACTTGGCTGTACATAACAATAATGCATTCCAACAGTACATCTCCTTCATTTGGGACAAAGTTGGTAGAAATGCACAGTACATTTCTGTGGCCAGGTCTCTCCAGCTTTTTGCTCAAGACTCTGAGATGTCTTCAGATAGCATAATAAGAAGTACACCAAATCCTGATAGATCAAGAAATCTGGCATTTCACTTGCTTACACCTCTCTGCTTTGGTCAAGAGACCACAGTACTGAATGTCTTTTCCATTCCTTCAGAAGCCAATTCCTTCCTACTGCTTTGGCTAGTTATGGGCTTGCACTGTAACAGGTTTTGACATATTTTAAATTAACAATACCAATGCGTAGGGAAGAACTTGGGGACATACATACTGTAGTGCCAAGGGCATGATGGAGACTCTGTTTTCTAGTTTCTTACTTGCAATAGTTCTTTGAGGTTCTGATGCATTAATGTGATTTATATGAACATAACTTTAATAAAAAACAATAATTGCTCTTCTTGAAAGAGCCAGTATCCTGGCCATGGAGATACAGAATCTGAATTCTCTGGTGTTTTACTGGCAATATTATTTTAAAAAATAGATTCCCAGAAAATATATTGATGCTACCTCAGTTTAAGTCAATTCTGCACAATCCATATTGGGAGCTTCCTTTCCGCTCCCAGTCGCATTTTTCAATCTGGAAGTTTATTTTAGGTCAAGCTTTGAAAAGTCAGTTGTTCGAGCAGCATTGGTTAAGCAGAAAAGCCTGATGAAGTCAATGGATACCCTAATTCCAGAATAAATGCCATGGGATTAAATCTGCTGCGCATGCTTCCTCCTCTCAAGGTGGGCAACAAAAGCCTGGGCGAGTGTCTCCACACTGCTGTGCCAGAGCTGCTGATCCCAGCGGAAACAATCCAGTATTTGTGCAGGAGCCAAGAATGTTTGAGCCCGACAGAATTTCTGAAGATGTACAACAATCCTTCGCAGCCACAAATGGATTCAGGTACTTTTTTTGCAAGGCAGCCCCTGGTCAATGGGAATCTTCCACAGGGCTCACCAGGGACCAAATAAGTCGTCATTTTGCTAGGAAGTTGTAGGTTTTACTTGGAACTGAAGATGGTTGTAAACAGACCGTAGACAGAGCCTTTGCCGCTTTAGTGCAAGGGTCTCCAAAGTAGGCAACTTTGGAGGCTCGTGGACTTCAACTCCCAGAATTCCTTAGCCAGCCATTAAGAAAACCCATCCTGGCTGAGGAATTCTGGGAGATGAAGCCCACAAGCCTTAAAATTGCCTATTTTGCAGACCTCTGCTTTAAGTGCATTTAGATGATCTTGGAAATATATTCAAATTATCCTTCCATCCCCACCCTATCTAATTTTTAACACCCCAATGCCTTTCGGTTAAAAGGAGGTGGGTGGAGAAAAAGGAGCCTCCAAGGAAAATGCTTCATGCGAACACCATGGCATAAGAAAGGAACTTATTGAAACTGTTAGCAAGAGCACACAGGTAGTCCTCAAGGTACCACAGGTTGCTTAAGGAACAAAATTACAAGATAAGCCCTCAAATTACATATGCCCATTTCAAACTACGATGGCTGCAGTGGCCCTGTGGTCATTCACCCTTATGACCCATTGCAGGGTCGCTGCAGCATCCCCCCTCCCCTCCTCCCACTCTGCTTGGGCCTGCTCCACACATGCCAATCACACCCCACACTTTCCTTCCTTGTGTTGGGGAAGGAGGGCAGGACAAAATGGCGACCACTTCCAGAATTGTTCCCTCACAACCCAATTACAGGGATGCTGCAGGGCCTCTTTCTGCCATCCCATCCCGCCGGGACCCCACAGTGCTTGGGTCAGGCGCTTTGGAGAATAGCTTGACTCCCTCTTCTTTGTGGCAGCCCCTGAGATATTGGAACACTGCTATCATGTCCCCCCTCGCCCTTCTCTTCATTAAACTAGATATACCCAATTCCAGCAGCTGTTCCTTATGTTTTAGCCTCCAGTCCCCTAATCATCTTTGTTGCTCTTCTCTGTACTCTTTCTAGAGTCTCAGCATCTTTTTTACATCGTGGTGACCAAAACTGGATGCAGTATTCTAAGTGTGGCCTTATCAAGGCAATGTAAAGTGGTATTAATACTTCACGTGATCTTGATTCTATTCCTCTGTTAATGCAGCGTAGCACTGTGTTGGCTTTTTTGGCAGCTGCAGCACACTGCTGGCTTATATTTAAGTGATTGTCCACTAGGACTCCGAGGTCCCTCTCACAGTTACTACTATTGAGCAAGGTACCCCCTATACTATACCTGTACATTTGGTTTTTCTTGCCCAAATGTAGAACCTTACTTTTTTCACCATTGAATTTCATTTTGTTAGATAGCGCCCAAGTCTGTCCAGGTCCTCCTGTATCTTAAGCCTGTCTTCTGGAGTGTTGGCTATTCCTGCCAACTTGGTGTCATCTGCAAATTTGATGAGTTCCCCATCTATCCCCTCATCCAAATCACTGATGAAGATGTTGAAAAGCACTGGGCCTAGAACAGAGCTCTGGGGCAACCCACTATACACTTCTCTCCATGTAGATGCAGTTCCATTGAGGACCACACACTGAGTACGGCTGGTCAGCCAACTACAAATCCATCTGGTGGTGATGCTGTCTAACCCACATTTTTCTATCTTGAGTAGTAGGTTGTGATCTACTTTATCAAATGCCTTACTGAAATCCATGTAAATTATATCCACAGCATTCCTCTGATCCACTAATTTTGTCACTTGGTCAAAGAATGCAATAAGGTTTGTCTGGCATGATCTGTTTTTGACAAACCCATGTTGGCTTTTAGTAGTGATTTTGTTTGCCTCTAGGTGTTCATTGATTCATTGTTTGATTATCTTTTCCAGAATCTTCCCAGGTATTGAGGTCAGGCTGATAGGTCTGTAATTTCCTGGATCCATTCCCCCCCCCTTTTTTTTGAAGATGGGAACTACATCAGCTCTTTTCCAGTCCTCTGGTAGTTCCCCAGTGCTCCAAGATCTTTGAAAAATATAGTTCAGTGGTTCTGAGATCACATCTGCCAGTTCCTTGAGAACCTTGGGGTGTAATCCATCTGGTCCTGGTGATTTGAACTTGTCTAGGCGGGACAGGTGCTCACTTATCATTTTCTTGCCTATCTTGTGTTTCTTTTCTGTTTTTTATGGCACTATTTTTGATAGATTGGTCTGTTTTTTCCCTTTGTGTAAAGACAGATGCAAAAACCGAGTTAAATAGTTCTGCTTTCTCCCTATTGCTTGTCACCTTCTTGCCACTTTCACCCACTAATGAACCAATCATTTCCTTCACTTTTTTCTTGTTTTTTACATGTTGAAAGAAGCTTTTTTTTTTGGTTATGTTTGACTTTGGTCGCAAGCCTTAGTTCATTATGAGCCTTAGCTTTCCTCACTTCATCTTTGCAGGCTCGGGCTATTTGTTGATATTCTGATAGCCCTCGCCTTAGGACTAGTCACTGAGTGACTTCCCAAAAGATCCAAAGTTCCGACAGCCAGCCCCCCCTCCCCCACAGTCACATGGCCGAATTTATGACCATCTGCAATGTCCTGCAGTTACACGACTATCTTTTTGATGAACAGGGCTTTACGTCTGGTTTTTGGCAAAAATGCCCCATAAGAGTTTATGTAATAGTTGCCACAAAAAAGGTCATAAAATCAGGATAGTCACATGATGATTCACTTTACAACCATCATGATTTATGACTGAAAAAGGCAGGTTCCTGGGGATTATGGGAAAACAAAATTTGTGTGAACTTGCATCTGAATGGGGGGAGGGGGAGAGGCTTGGGCAGTGCCTGGGAAGGTTTGAGAGGCTCCACTTTCAGCCTCCTGCCCTCCTGGTCATACTTGGCACACTCCTACAGAGTGCACAGATAGACACACACGCACAGACACCCCCTCCTAGACAACCACTCCACTTTAGCCAACCTGAGACACAAAGGCAATATGTATGCACACTCTGATTAGTCCCTGGGGAGAGACTGCACACTGTACACACACAATGTGGGTGCACTGAAGAAAATACAGATGCTCTTCTGGTTACTGCTGGTAAAAGGGTTGGAAAAATGATGTTTCTTTTTTCTTCCACTTCCCTTTCCCCTCCCCAGAAACAGTATGGCCTACTCCTACTCATATGTCTACATGAAATCCTATGGACAAGCTACCTACCAATGTGTCCGAAGGCCTGGATCGAGTTGTAAATTTGCAGTTACAAATCTCAAAGGCCTGGATAGAGTTGGCCTGAGAACTTTAATGTCCATCTCTTCACCCACGCAGAGGGAAAACAAAGCAAGCAATAAAGTTGACAAGAAGACTTGAGAGTGGTGTGCTGGTGTTCTTTCAAACAGGGCTGAGGGACTGCAGAAGCTGTTGAACATCTCATTCTTTGGGTCCTGACCCCATGAGACTAACGGTAGTTAAGGAGGGAAAATTAGGGGCAAATGCTTCTCAGTGGTCTATACATCCTAGCATCTTCCAGGTTCTTGCCAAACTACCCCCTTCTTCTTTCTGGGGTGACTGCTTCACTTCCCAAGCAATTTAATTCATTGGCGAATTAGGGGAAAAATACAGCTCTTTGGGTAGGAAAATTACAATAAATCGGTTTTATAGTGACAAAATGAGCAAATTTTACTCAGCAGATAAACCCAACAAGATATCCAAAATAACTTTCAAAGTTCAACTCATTTATAGCAATACATATTTTCCAGAGTTCAGCTTGACAGCAGCTGCCTGTGGAAGTTACAGAAACCAGAGCAGAAGGGTTAATACAAATATCTATGAAAAATAAAGGGGAAAAGAATCATATTTTAAAAAAGAATAGCACTGAAATAGTTAGAGAGACAGTACATTTCCTTTTACAGTGTCAAGTCCATCAAGGCACAAGAATACATCCACTGTTTAGAAAAGTGACCGATAACCAGCAGTCATCTTCTGCACCTGTAGCAATTTTTTGGTTCATACTTTTAACGAAGTCTGCAGCATATCAGAGACAGCGTGTCTCTTGCACACCTCTGTTTGATACGGACCAAGAAGAAGAGCTCAGCAGAGTCTTGAAAGGGTTATGATTTCCATTACACATGCATTGCTTTGGATTCTTCTTGGAACTTCCTGGCAGGGCCATCTCGATTAACAGCAGCAATCAAGCTTCTCATACAAGGTTTAGCAACAGCCAGAACATCCAATGTTAGCTTAGGCAGCTTTGTCAGGATACAGGTCATTCAACTCTTTTAAAGATCACATGTCTTCTCAGAAGACACAAGGCAGGTAGTGGTACCATTCCTTCTTTGTCTTCTTCTTTGTTTTAAAGCTCCTCACTGTGAATCCTGGATGGGTTAGGTTTTCATTGGGATAGAAAAGGCTGCTTTGGAGTGATTTTATTCTTTTTACAAAGCAGTGCTTTCAGTATCATGATCGAGATCAAGCACAAGGTGGTTGTGTGAATTCTGATTCGGCGAAGTCACCAATTCTGTGGCAGGAAGTTCCACGCCAGGGAGGCCCCGTGATTGCTCTTGAACCTCAGAACTGGTATCTGTGCAGAAAAGACATCAAACACAGTGCAAATGCTGAAAGATAAGCTCAGGCCTGGCTGCTGATCCACAAGACTCTCTCTCTGCTTCAACACTATGCTAAAACGTCTGAATTCAAAGGAGAGCAGGAATTACAATTCAGAAACTGACTCCAGAATCCTCTTACTTTAATCAAGTTTATCATGTGAGTCATAATGGCTAGTAACTTTGTGGTGGAAGGAGCCTGACCTTCTCAGAGTGACAGGATACGCTTTCAGCTTAAAATTTCAAATTTAGCAGCTTAGCTCCTGAAAACAGAGAGCTTTATTCCCAGACAGCCAAAGTTTCTTCATGTCATACGGGGAAACTGGTTTGCCACAAATTGAAAGTCCAACTGTCAGGAGCCAGCTAGTATCAACTTAGATCAGTGTTTCTCAACCTTGATAATTTTAAGGCATGTGGACTTCAACTCCCAGAATTTCACAGCCAGCAATGCTGGCTGTGGAATTCTGGGAGTTGAAGTCCACATTCCTTAAAATTGTCAAGGTTGAGAAACACTGTCTTAGATAATTCTGGAAAAGCACAAAGCATAATTTGAAGAAACAGGTCAATGAAAGCAGAATTTGACACATTCTGGGCAAGCTGGTTGGGCCTGGGGCTTGAGTGGATCTGCAAAGAGTAGAACTCTCTGGGACCTGGAAGTGGGCAGAGATCCCATTAGCACAAACAAGGAGGCTACCTCGCTCTCCTCCCCATTTCAAAATCCAAGGAACATGAGCACACAGGAGCTAGGCTGTTTCTACACTGGCAACCACCCTGTTCTCCCGCCTCCCTCAGTGAAATAGTGAAAAGACATCTGACGTATAAGCGGGACTTTATTTCCACAGATGTGCAGCCCTGGTGTGATGGGTCAAGAGTAACCTTTCCCTTTCCATGCAGAATGACTGCAAGATGGAGCTGCACCTGCTCTTGTACAGTGAGGGAAAAAGTTATTTGATCCCCTGCTGATTTTGTACGTTTGCCCACTGACAAAGAAATGTCTATCATTTTAATGATAGGTTTATTCTAACAGTAAGAGATTGAATAACAACAAAAAAATCCCAAAAAATACATTTCAAAAAAGTTATAAATTGATTTGCATTTTAATGAGCGAAATAAGTATTTGACCCTTTCTCAAAACCTGACTTAGGACTTGGTGGCAAAACCCTTGCTGGCAATCACAGAGATCAGACGTTTCTTGTAGTTGGCCACCAGGTTTGCACACATCTCAGGAGGGATTTTGTCCCATTCCTCTTTGCAGATCCTCTCCAAGTCATTAAGGTTTCAAGGCTGATGTTTGGTAGCTCAAACCTTCAGCTCCCTCCACAGATTTTCTATGGGATTAAGGTCTGGAGACTGGCTGGGCCACTCCAGGACCTTAATGTGCTTCTTCTTGAGCCACTCCTTTGTTGCCTTGGCCGCGTGTTTTGGGTCATTGTCATGCTGTAATATCCATCCGTGACCCATTTTCAATGCCCTGGCTGAGGGAAGGAGGTTCTCACCCAAGATTTGATGGTACATGGCCCCATCCATCGTCCCTTTGATGCGGTGAAGTTGTTCTGTCCCCTTAGCAGAAAAACACCCCCAAATATGTTTCCACCTCCATGTTTGACAGTGGGGATGGTGTTCTTGGGGTCACAGGCAGCATTCCTCCTCCTCCAAACATGGCTGGTTGAGTTGATGCCAAAGAGATCGATTTTGGTCTCATCTGACCACAACATTTTCACTCAGTTGTCTTCTGAATCATTCAGATGTTCATTGGCAAACTTCAGACAGGCCTGTACATGGGCTTTCTTGAGCAGGAGGACCTTGCAGGCTGCAGGATTTCAGTCCTTCACGGCGTAGTGTGTTACCAATTGTTTTCTTGGTGACTATGCTCCCAGCTGCCTTGAGATCATTGACAAGATCCTCCCGTGTAGTTCTGCGCTGATTCCTCACCATTCTCATGCACATTGAAACTCCCCAAAGTGAGATCTTGCATGGAGTTCCAGACCGAGGGAGATTGACAGTTATTTTGTGTTTCTTCCATTTGCAAATAATCGCACCAACTATTGTCACCTTCTCACCAAGCTGCTTGGCGATAGTCTTGTAGCCCATTCCAGCCTTGTGTAGGTCTACAATCTTGTCCCTGACATCCTTGGACAACTCTTTGGTCTTGGCCATGGTGGCGAATTTGGAATCTGATTGATTGACTGCTTCTGTGGACAGGTGCCTTTTATACAGGTAACCTAATCTCAGCTCGTTATCTGTATAAAAGACACCTGGGAACCAGAAATCTTGCTCGATAGAGGATCAAATTCTTATTTCACTCATTAAAATGCAAATCAATTTATAACTTTTTTGAAATGCGTTATTCTGGATTTTTTTGTTGTTATTCTGCCTCTCCCTGTTAAAATAAATCTACCATTAAAATTATAGACTGATCATTTCTTTGTCAGTGGACAAACGTACAAAATCAGCAGGGGATCAAATAATTGTTTCCCTCACTGTACATTTCCTCACCAGCGGAGATGCAACTCTAGTTAAGGCTTTCCGTACTAAGTTCTGCTCCTGTCTGACAATCACATGGGCAAAGCTTGGATGGGCACCGGACTTGGCTCTAATGACAGAGCTTTAATGACCTCAAAATTCCATAGAGTTGGATGAGGGTTGCTTCTAGAGCACGATGGGGCATGAGGCAGAGCAGGGGATCGACTGGATCGCCTGCTTTTAGCCTCTGTGGGTGCGGTGGAATGTAGTCTGGATTCCCAGGAGGGAGAGGCTGCAGACCAGAGGACCAAGAGGAAGAGGGTCAAGATAGTTCCTTCCCTAGATGTTCTCGAGTAGATCTTACATGATGCAAGTAGTTGCTTTAGTTTGGCAAGATTTCTGTCTGCAGGTGAGGAACGATAAAAGAAACTGCTTAGAAAAAAGTTGACATGTTTTTCTTGGTTTTTGGAGCCTAACAGGCTGGGGCCAATCTACTGTTCACCAGAAAGATGCTTTGGCTGCTGTATCATCTTTCAAGGTGACCTCTAGACAATTAGACAGTATTTGGAGCTGAGTCCCTCTACACCAGACATGTCAAACTTGCAACGTCAGGTGATGTTGTGCAACGTATCGGAGCTTAGTCGCCATTGCTGGCAATGGGGTGGGTGTGGCTCCGGTATGATGAAACCGGCCCGCAGGCTGGAAGTTTGACACCCCTGCTCTACACATAAAAGATTAGACATCACAGTTGACAGAGCTCTTGGCCAGCAGTACTACAACTAGGACAAAAGAATGCATGCCAACCTGCCTGGGGCAACGGCTGCTTACTCCAAGATCACACCAAGTTTGTATTTTATAAAGAATACAGAATTCTTAACGCAGAGCTTCCAATCCGTACAAGAGGCCTTTCTTTCAGAGTCTTCTTACCCTGCATATTTTAAGCCCTGTGCAGCAGTGGAGGCACCTTGTTCACGCAATAAGGGAACAGCAACCAGTGGCAGAACTGGCATGGGCCTGCAAGGTTGTACTTAGCTCTCTGTGGAGAGAACTCATTTGCCATCACAAGGGTGGAGGGAAGAACAGTTTACGTAAGCCTCTCTGTGTGCACCTTTTACTTCTATCTGGACATGCTACGAAGCTCTGAAGATTTTGAAAATCAGAAATTCATTCCAATGTCTACTGATGAAAGGTTGACAAAGATGGATCGGGGAGGGGCAGTAGACCAGAATACATCCAGGGAATGCATTAATATGGAGATCAACATTACAAATAATGGACAAGAAAAGCATCACTCCTTTCACATGCAGGATTAGTCCAGGTGCAAGCAAGCCAGGTTACGGGTGACCAGTTAGTAAGAAACAAAAGCGGCATCCATGATTATGCAACATTTGCAACATTTCCGGCCAATCGGAAGGCCTCAATTTCCTCTTACCATTTCCAATTTCAGTTCCTATTGAATAAGGCAGCTCAAACATCTAGATTATTTAATAAAATTCTCAATTAGAATACTATTTGTAGATACTGTATATTACAACCTAAAGGATTCAAAGGATTATTTTGGCAGCTGAAATTTGTTTTGTTCCAGTAGCCATTACAATTCTGCAAAGGTTCTATGGATCAATATGTTAGAGTCTGCTAAAATTAACAGATGGGCATGCGCTATTTCATTCTGCCAGAAGTCAAGACTTTGTCCTAATATGCTGCTTAAAATTAACGTTAAGCATTATTAAAAAGCGCCCAATCCAGATTAAGAAATAAAAAGAGCTTGTAAATATTGATGCAATCTGCAATAAATGAATCACATTCGCATTGCACCAACAGGGAAATTATTTTGTTAGCTGGCAAGGGACAGGGCTTAAATCAAAGAATAAATTGCTACTCCCCCTGCCTGACGCCTACAATCTGAGTATAATAAAATTCAGCCAGTCTTCCCATGGTCCAATGAACAGCACTGAAATTTTCTCAATGTTTCTGAACCAGCACCCTGCCTGGGGCAGCAAGGAAGGAACCACGGAGAATAAAGGATAAAAACTGCCCTTACTGATCTGGGTGTACTACTAGAGCAACACAGGGAGCAAACCTGACATCTTGGAATGTTCTTCAGCGCGAAGGAAAATAATTTTGATAGCAGAGGGAAATCAGAGGGAAAGCTGAATTGCTACTGTTGGAGGGAAAGAACGGGGACTTGCAAAGGTTGATATGCAAAAGCCCAGAACACAAAATGGGACTGCTGAGGTCTGACTGTTGAGGATGATTTTGTTCTTTAGTTATAGGAAAGCAAAACTTGATGTGAACGCTGAAATGGGCTTGGGTATTTCCTATTTGCTCCAATATCTCTACTACTTCTTCTCTGAAATGATGCCCTATGCTCCTATCTAGACTCTCTGCTGCTACGAATCCAGTTAATCTGCCTTTATCATCTCGTCCATGGACTTTGCCAATCTCAAGGGACAGCAGCCCTGCGATTCCAACGGAGGGCTGGCTGACAGCCATAGCTGGCTTGCTTTTGGGGGGGGGGGCTTCCTTTGGCCATCCCCACTGGGGTGGAGCATTCCTGCATCCAAGCCTGGGCTCAAAGACATGCCTGTGGAGCTGAGAGGGCTCTTACCGGTCACGATGTGCGACGCTGTTGCCGGGGGACCCAGCAGAGAGCCGTTTGCAGACAGGTGAGGAGCAGGCGGGTGAGGCGGAGGGGGCACCGTGGGACGGTTGCGAGGTCTGGGCACTGGCCGGGGCCTGGGCAGCGTGCCAGATGGAGGAGGCGACTGGGCCGGTGGAATGTCCTGGGTCGAAGGCTGGGCGGCTGAGCAGGCGGCGCTGTGCTTCTCCAGGGGGGGCGTGTCAGGCGGTGTGGGGGTTTGCGGAGGAGTGGGTGACGGCTGCTCTGACCCTCCCTCTGGGCCAGGCGGGGAGGGTCCAAAACTACCAGTCTTGCTCTGCGGAGGTGGTGTTATGGACTGCGTGGGGGGCTGAGGGGGTGGGTGGTTGGGAGCCTGTATCTGGGAGAGGCTGCTCGAGTATCGCCGGGGGGCAGAAATATGGGGCGGGGCAGCAGAAGGCTGAGCACCTCCTTGGTTTGACTGCTGGCTGGGAGGAGAAGGGCTCCTAGTGGGGGGCTTGGGGGCTGGAGTGGCACTCGGGATCCCTGGCTGCCCCGGAGGTGGGTTTGCTGGCTTTGGAGGGGCCGGTGCAGGTTTCTTGACGCCTGAAAGAGAGAGCAAAAGGAAAATGAGCACAAAGCTTCTGATTACCTCGTGGGCTGCCGTAAGTGCCTGGCACCCCGACTGAAAAAAGCCTCCGGCTCCTGTCTGAGAAAGACTGAGCTTCACGGAGGTTGTTTTACCGCGTAAGACCCAGCCTGGCCAACCTCTTTTAAAGAGAGGGCTGCTTCATTTCCTCTCCTAGGGAAACGCCTGCAGACCTTCCATTTTATAAGAGCAGAGATCTCCACACTTAGTTACTTTAAGACTGGTGGATTTCAAATCCCAGCATGCCAAATTTGGAGAGCCCTGTTCTAAGAGTATACTGCAGTGGGGTGTGTGTGTGTGTGTGTGTGTGTGAGAGAGAGAGAAGAGAGCTCCATTGCCCTCTGTGGCTCCACGTGGAACCGTCCCTGCGTGCCCAGTCTGCTCTATGCCCCCCTGGCCAAAATTTGTCGGAACTCAGCAGTCTAATCTAATCTACCCATCCAATCAGTTCCAACAGAAAGAGTGAAGTGGGTTTTTGTTGTTATGTTGTGGTTATTTTGTTGTATTAGTGTTTGTGTGTTGTTTTTTTTACTTTGTATCAGTCATTTGTATGACATGGTTGCCTATATACATTTACATAATGAAGAAATAAATCTTTTTGAGCCTTCTCACTTCCCATACCAGCTCTGCTCCTCCTCCATGTGATTTATCCACCAAAGAATTGATCACTTGAGTAACTTCAGATGCGGAGTCAGGCAAATTCAACTGTCTAATTTGGGAGCAGGTTCTGCAGTCTCTTGGTGTGAAATAGCCAAAGTAGCCAATGCAAAACATGCTCTCTGGCCCTCCTGCAAGGTGACCAGAACTGAAAAAGAAAGGCCAGCGTAGAAATCCTTTCTTCCCCTGCTCACCCCAAATGGGCAAACTCTGATTGAAAAGTTGATCTTCAGGAAAGATCTGGTAGCTTTAGATTGACCCCCACCCCCCACCCCCACCAGGCTGCAAATGTAATTCCTGAAGGACAAACCTCGCCTGAGGGCGTGTGGGCTGGGCCCGGCGGTGCTCTGGGGCTGCCCAACCAAGTGCTGGCTGGCGCTGCTGAGAGGCTGAGCAGGTCCACCATTTCTGGGGGGTGGCGGTGTGGTTGAGGGCATCGAGTCCTTTGGCTTGGAAGAGCTGCAAGGAGAGAAAGACTGCATCAAAGGCTCCTGCCGGGTGCCAGAAGCTGCTTCTCTCTGAGGCTCATCGTGTGATGTGGGGCCCTTTTTGCATTAAACAGATGCAAGGTGCAGGCAGACCCCCCCTCCTTGCCACTAGTCCATTGGTGGCCTGCTTGACCCAGCTGTCTGGGATCCATAGAATCCCCATAGCTTAGGGAAAAAAATCAGAAATGCTTAAAGCAGCAGAGCACCAAGGTTAGCAACACCAACTGCAAGCACCACAGAGTTGGGGGGGGGTTCCTTAAAGATGTAAGAGCGTCGTCCCCCTAGTTTCTCTGAGATGTACCATGTAGATTCTGTGCCAAAGGTGGCAGTTCTCCAGAAACCCAAATGAGCATCTCTTCAGCTACTCACCAGTCCTTGAATCTCACTCAGGTCCCTTGAACTGATTTTAACAAGCAACGTTTCTTGCTTTGCCCATTCCTACAACCTGGTCTTTGCTCAAACACAAATATTTTGGGGAGCTTGTTCAGAATAGCAAGGCTTCTCTGAGCAGCTGCTTCCATATCTTCTCCCCAAAGTTACGCTCAAAGGCTGCCCAGCAAGGGCCCAGAGTCAAATTGGTGGAAGGCCTTGGAGGAGCAGATCTCCCTTTCTCCAGTGCAGAAAATCAGCTTCCTCAGAAGGAACATGCACCACACCCCCACCTTCCCCATGGAAGGAAAAGCTAAAGCACAATAACACTGTGGCACACTGACGGGGGGGGGGTACATAAGCCTACGAAGACGAGACAAACAGGTTCTAGCTAGTGGGTTAGAAGAACAAGCTACCATCTCTCCAAGTCAGACAGGAGGGAGAATCCCTAACTTTGCTCGGTGCAGCCGGGCTCTGCCTTGCAGCTCTGTATTTTCCCTGACTTGGGCGGGCTCTGGCATGACCTCAGGAGAGAAGCAGGAGGGCGACTTTGCCTGCTTTAAGGCAGGATGATCACGACTGTTCTGCTTCCTTGTGGCAACAAAGCAGGCTAGCCTTGCAAAGCACCTCCCTTTTGCTTTGGGGATCGACGACCAGGTGCTTTGCGTAGGAACGCCTCATTTCAAAGGACCGTGGCCCACCCTGAGCCTGCCTCTCTGAGCCTCCCCTCTTACCTGCTGTCCTCCGTGCCTTGGCCGTTAGAATGCTCTGCTGAGCCAGGCAGGCAGGCAGAGGAAACACCCGCGAGGCCGGGCTCAGCCCCAGGGGCCTGTGGGTGCTGCTCCGCCGTGGCCAGGGCCAGCGGGCCAGCCTCCGTGGGCGGAAGCGGTGGCTGGAAAGCTGGGGCTGTGTGCTTTCTATTCACAGTGCCAACTCTCCGGGGATTTGCCTGGAAGTCCATAACCTTCACACCAAAGCTACAGAGGAGAGAGAGAGTAAACACTCCATGCAGACGGGCTACACGCGAACACAACAAGAGTAAGTATAACTACTTGGGGAGACGGAAGGCGAGTTCCTGCTGCTGGCCATGCAAATAAGCAACAAGGAATACGCAAACTCTGCCAGCCAGAGTTTGAAAAGTGCAATGCACTTTGGCTCAGCCAGGAAGAGTGCAACAGGCATTGAGGACCAGCAAGACTGATTATTCAACATCCATTTCGTTTTGTGTGTGCGTGCGTGCGTGCGAGACAGAGAGAGTGAGAGTAATGCAGAGACACAATATATCCATACTGGACCATTCTATTTTTGGGCAGACCAGTATGTACCCACTTTATCCCTCCTTAAGCAGCCCCAGGAATTCTGCAGGGGTTTGAAAAGATTTCCCTTCCCCGGAAATCTGGGAGACTTCATTGGCTGCAAGGCAGCTCCATCCACAGGGCCTTTTTGGTATCATCCCCCTGTGGTCCAAATGCCTGGAACAGTCTGGCTGAGAACATCCCTGGTTAAGTCACAGACATGCTGTCTTTAAATATTAATGGCCAGGCTGTGTGTATTCAGTGGCGGTCACGGCAATAAAAATGGCAGCCACAACAACAGCAGAGACACGAAAGCTGCCCAGAGTCACTCATTTAATAAATAAATAAATAATCAATCCAGCCCTCAGCACAGGGGGGCACAAACTGTACCCCAGACTTTGGTGCCCTGTAGAATTTGTTTCCCTTTCCCAGATTTACGGGCAGCAAAATGATTTAAAACAGGTCAAGGTAAATAAATAAATTGGCATAATACGTGCGGCTTAATTATTCATTTTTTTGATTTAGATGTTTGAATTTGTAAAAGTCCAGAATACACACAACCCCAGTTAATGTGCAGAAACAAAAACATGGAAACTAAAATACTGATGAATCCAGTGTAGAGCACATAGAACAAATGTCTGTCTAGCTCAGGGACCTCAAACTCAGATTGTCATTGAAGTCTTTGCATACTTTAATTTTCTAAAAACTCTTTCATGAAGAAAGAGGTTCACATATGCCAGAAAACAGACCTTTATTACACACACACCACACACACACACGCACACACACACACACACACACACACACACACACCCTACAGCCATTTCACTGCATTTCATTTTGGCTAACTGGCTGGCTGACAGCTGAGGGGCTGTGCAGTGGCAGCTACCGAAGGTGGGGCTCCCGTGTGCAGTGGTGGGTTTGTGCATGGCGCATGGCCAGGAGGCAGTGGGAAAGGCCCCGGCCCCTTTCCTGTAGCAGGGGGCCACTGAAATCCCAGGCAGCTTTTCCAAAGAGCTGCCACAGCTCACTTCCCTCTCACCTCCCAGGAGAGATCCCCCTACTGTGTTCTGGGGCACCTCCTCCCATTCGGCACACCTGTGCAGGCAGTGGCAGGGCCTGGATGCAGGATGGGAGCGTGGGAGACCCTTCCTTCTCAGCCCAGAGCCAGCGGACTCAGTAGCTGCCATGAAGGTGGCCGGGGCCATCTCTGCCAGCTGGCAGACTCAGCCTTGCCTCTAAGTCAGTCTTTCTCAACCCTGGCAACTTTAGGACGCCTGCACTTCAACCGCTTGTGGCCCCTCGGCTGGGAGTTTGAGATCCCTGGTCTAGCTGCTAGTAAGGCAAGGAAAAGCTAAGTAGCTCACACTGGAAGTCAGGATACAACAGAGTTCAGGGAAGGCCAAAGCACGCAGAGAAACGACATGTGCTAAGCACTCTTCAAACTAAAGTCGCAGCAAATTTCCAGTCTGAAATTTGGTGTTCCAAAGACACGATAGAATTTCAGGGAAGGCGACTGGCGTCACAAACGAGCTTTGGATTGTCATGGATTATAAACAGGGGCTGCAGGAGATCAGGAGCCTGTAATCGTTTATCACGAGGGCTGCCAGTCTTCCTTGGTCCTGACTGGCAGGGACACCTCCTTGTGGGCCCTACGCGGATCCCAAGGGGAGTCTGTTCCTGCTGCTTCCGCAGCACCAGATCTCCCTCGGGCTTCTATCATGCGTGGAACACAGTGGGTAGGAAAGGACAGCATGTACATTACCTCTGGATCTTCCTTAGGCTGCAGTAAGGAGGGAAAGGCACCACTCAGGGCTGGCTGGCCATGGCTGCAGGCATGCCCAGCTCCTCTCTGACAGAGGCTTCCAGAAAGCCTGTCAACCTACGCAAGGCCCACCTGCAGAATACCTTAAGGAGGCCCAGATGCCTTTGGTGGCTCGCCTAAGCAGCTGCCCCTCAGATGCCTTTGGACCCGACACCCTGAGCAGCCGTGCGGGTACTTTGGGACTCAAGTGGATACATTTGTGCCTTCCAGGCTTGGTGATTGAAAGGAACACCATCAATAGTGTTTAATACTCTAAACCAGAGTTCTCCAACCTTGGCAATTTTAAGGCTTGTGGGCGTCAACTCCCAGAATCCAAGGTTACCTTGCCAAGGTTGGAGACCCCTGCTCTAAACCACTTTGGGTGGAACTTCTCTGATTGGCTGCTAATATACAGCATGAAGGCAATCGTTCTCAGAGGCAAAAACTGTTGTGAGTGCAACTAACGTAGAAACGAGTGCCAACTTCTGCCAAAATTCAAACATCACTCACTATGCAACATTTGAGGTGTGGGGGGGGGGAACTGAAAGAGCCAACCGGGCTCTTTCATAATAACAATCTGATCTGTTTTCCTTCATTGGACAAAGAAATCTTTGATTTCTCATGTGCCAAGAAAGGGACTGTTGATTGTGAGGATCAAACTCAAGTTTATGACCTCTGAAAGAACTTCAGACACCTTTAACTTAAGTTAAACAACAACGAATGATATTGAATAAACTGCTAAATCGACCATAGGATGGAGGAAGGGAAAAAACGGTCACTTTACCTTTCCTTTCTCAGGAGCTCCCCTTCCATCACAGCCATGCTGACCGGCCTCTTCCGCTCCAGGGTCCCGGAATCATAGTCACCCCCAGCAGGAAGGTGGTTGGAGTACACAGCCGGCTGCCCCACAAACGCTCCAGACACATTGAAATCCAGCTCTGTGAATTCAGGAACACAAGGGTCTCCGAGCGGTTCAGAGGAACATGGCCTTCAGGCCAAGAACTTAATTTCAGAGGACAAAAATACCTTATTAAGGTAAATTCATTTCTATCTACATTTTCAGATTAAAACCATCAGACAAAGCAGTACAACACAAAGGGATGCAGCAGCATACTCAGTCCCGGAGTTGCTAGGGTTGCACACATAACAATGCCTACGCTGCATTCAGGTTTGCTTCTGGATCCAATTCAAGATTGAGCCGAGGTGGCGCAGCAGTTAGAGTGCAGGACTGCAGGCCACTTTAGCTGACTGTGTTCAGCAGGTCAGTGGTTCAAATCTCACCGGCTCAAGGTTGACTCAGCCTTCCATCCTTCCGAGGTAGGTAAAATGAGGACCCAGATTGTTGGGGGCAATGTAAATATATATACACATTGCTTACTGGTGTACACCGCTTAGAGAGTGCTCGCACTTAAAGCGGTATATAAGTCTCATAAATAAATAAATAAATAAATAAGATGTTAGTTGCTACCTTAAAGCCTTGCCCGGCATGGGTCCAGGCAGGTATCTAAGGAGCTCCCCAATGGGACAAGCCTACCCCACTCGCACCACCAGAAGAAACTGCAGATCCCATCTGCTAAGGCAGTGTTTCCCAAACTTGACAATTTCAAGGCATGTGGACTTCAACTCCCAGAATTCCACAGCCAGCATTGCTGGCTGTGGAATTCTGGGAGTTGAAGTCCTCATGCCTTAAAATTGTCAAGTTTGGGAAACACTGTGCTAAGGAATTCCAGCAGTGGGTTCAAGGAGAAGAGCCCTTTCCGCTGTGCCCCATCCCTGTGGAACTCTCTACCACTGGAGGTGAGAACTGCCCCCTCCCTTTTGGCCTTCTGGAAGGAATGAAAACTTATTTTGCTGGTTGGCCTGGGGCCTCGAGGGGGGTGGCTGATAGAGTAAGAAGATCTTGTCCTGCCCGTCTCTTAGTTCGGGTTTCCATTTAGAGTTAAAATCTTAATCTGTGTAGTTTTAATGTTTTAATTATTTTTCTTCTTGCTTAAAACCTTGTAAGCCACTCAGTCATTTATAGCCCTGGTGACGCAGTGGGTGGAATGCAGTACTGCAGGCTAACTCTGCTCACAGCCTGGAGTTCGATCCTGACTGGCTCTAGTTGACTCAGCTTTCTATCCTTCTGAGGTCAGTAAAATGAGGACCCAGGTTGTTGGGGGCAACATGCTGACGCTGTGAACTGCTCAGAGAGTGCTGTAAAGTGCTATGGGGTGGTATAGAAGTCTAGGTGCCGCTGCTATAGTGGAGATGGGTGGCATAAAAAATAAACAAATACAACTTGCGAGTTAAAAAATTAGAGTGGCACCCAAAACTTGTAATAAAAGCTGTAAGTTCAATATTTCAGTGGAATTAATGTCTCCAGAGAATTAGCTGATAACTGAATGGAGATATTAAGATGTTTCCAACCTCACATGATTCAGAAATTACATTTTTACAATTGGCTTTGCTGCTCAACATTTCTGGAAAATGATTCACAGCAGAATGAAGCAAATCTTAAAAGGTGAGTAGGTGATGCTTTCAACTGTAGTATTTTTACTAACTCTATATTCCCCCAAAATAGCTTGGATTAGCTTTGTACATACTAACTGCTGTGAGGATACTTTATGCCTTTTATTAGAAAGGATTGTTTGATCCCTCCTAAGAATGGCTCAACAAACTGTAGGAATACAGTTCAACATCTAGAATAAGCTTGTTATTTTAAAAGTAAATCTGACATAGAATTTGATTCAAATTGCAAACCATTTTGTAATTTGTTGCATATGGTTTTTGATACATTTTTGATTTTCCTCTACATAAAGTAAATTTTTAAATATTTCTAAATAAAATACGTATTTCCTTTTTAAAAATATTTTACTCCCAGCAGCATTCACTGTAATTTACAACTTCATTTTGTGATTGATATTATGTTCATTACGGTTCTCTATAGTTATATTCTCTTAATGGTTTAATAATAATTTTTAGATTTTTTACAATATAATATATTCTATTACCGTATATGCCGGTGTATTAGGCGACCCGGCGTATAAGACGACCCCCGTCTTTATAGCCGGGCCGCATTCCTAGAACGTCGTCTTATATGCCGGAAACTACCAGTATTTCCGGCGTATAAGATGAGTCGGCGTATAAGACGACCCCCGTCTTTGGCGCCGATTTCAGCGCTCACGGAAGTCGTCTTATACGCCGGCATTTACGGTACTTAAAATTGATGATGTGTTGAAAAATTGTAATTTCTATTAATTATAAATGCCTTGTTTTTTTCCCCACAAGATTTTCCTCCCCATTTCTCTTTCTTCCAACTTTATGTATTTTCTCTTAAAATGTTCAACAAAAATGTACTTAAAAACAAAAGAGGTTTCCAAGCTCATTCTTTTCGATACTTTACATGGGCTTTTACAAGGATGCGAAAATATCAAAAGCAGAAAGCAGAGCAGTCCCACTATTAGCCCACCAATTCCCCTAGGGAGGAACAACTGGGATTGCGTGCAAAGAAGAAATAGCGTTTTCTTTACCTTCGGGAAAGAACCAGGCCGCGTGCTGGATGATGGGTTCAACAACGGCAACCACGTGCACTGAAGTTGCTGCTGCCATTTCTGCAAGAGAGCTGGGGAGAGGAGACCGTTGGCTTTAAAGACGTTCTCAGCAATCAAGGAAGCTAATGAATTCTGCTCACTGGGCTCAGAAATAGGGACCAAGGGAGGTCCGGCAGAGGATCCATTGGCTGCCAACTATTTACTGGGCACAACTGAAGGGTTTAAAGTCCACTCCCCCCAAGGCACGGGTGTCAAACTCGCCACGTCATGTGACGTGTCGCAACTCTTTTTGCATTGCCAGCCGTGGGGTGGGTGCGGCTTTGGTATGATGAAACCAGCCCGCAGGCCGGCAGTTTGACCCCCCTGCTCTAAGGGCCTCTCCTCTTGCAAAACTTTTGGGAGACGTTCTCCTGAAGACTCTGCCTGAGGCTTCCAGAGACCAGTGGGACCGAGCCTTCCCCTGGGTTGCTCCTACGTGACAAAGTGCACTCCCTCAAGTCTTACATTTGGCCTCTGAAAACCTGCCCAGATGGATTGCCCTGGCAGGCTCAAGTTTTTAACAAATCTTAGGACTTGCAGAATTGAGTAATAAAAATCTTAGTGATGCTATTAATCTTTCTTGCACAAAACAAATACATGGCACAGAAATACTTGGTAGTGAGTTCTTATGCAGTGATTTAGTTTGTGCTGGGCCTTTTCCGTTAAAGAACTAGGCAAAAATCTAGCCCTACAAGTACCCAAGATTCACCCCCTGACCAAGGGCCCCCGAATTGCAGTTCGAAGAAGAGCTGCTAAATCAGTGGTTCTCAACCTGTGGGTCGGGACCCCATTTGGGGTCGAACGACCATTTCACAGGGGCCGCCAAACAACGCAGCCCGCCATTTTTTTCCTCTTTTTCCTTAGCTGTGCTACTCCCTTTTATTCTATTGGCTTTTGAAAGCCAATAGAATAGACTCTCTTGAATAGAGTCTAATTCTATTGGCTTTCAAAAGCCAATAGGAATTGTCCAGGCTGTCTCTGCCCTGCTGAGCCCGCCAAAAGTCCCAGTCTGCAAACGGTGCTGCCCCAGTTGAGTAGTCCTCGACTTACGACCGGTTGGGGGTCGTGGCATTAAAAAGGTTGAGAACCACTGTGCTAAAGGCATCAGAAACAGGACGGCCGATGGGGATTAGCCCGATTCCGCTGATTTGGCAATTCAAGTATTAGAACTCAACACTTACCCTTCATTCTTGGCCCACAACAAATTTGGGCCCAGCACAATGGCAATGTTGCTAGGAGTCATCTTGTTAACATCACTATACTGTGCGAGTTTTGCAAGGAATTTGATTAAATACCTGCAAGAAATAACCAGTGTTAGGCTCTAAGGAGAACCAAAGGCATCGCTGGTCACAGGAAAACTGAAGTCCAAGATACTCAGCTTGCTCTCTCTCTCTTCTAGATAGAAATACGGTACAAAAATTCCACAAAAGTATTGTGAATTTCAATTCTTGCCTGGGCAGGAGCACAGAAATCAAGAGTGGGAAACTCTTTGGAGGGATTACTCATGGGGCTTCAGAGCCCCATGGACAACAGCATCCATTGGAAATCTTGTTGAAGTTTTCTAAGTGACAGTTCCATAGGTGGAACTGGTATCGATCATGGTATCCTTTTGCGACGACTCGAAAGGGTGGGAGCGGGAGGCACCGTTTTACGGTGGTTCTCCTCCTACCTCTCTGGCCGTTCGCAATCGGTATTGGTGGGAGGGCAGAGGTCAACCCCGAGGCCCCTTGAATGCGGCGTGCCACAGGGGTCGGTCCTCTCTCCTCTCCTATTTAACATTTATATGAAGCCGCTGGGTGAGATCATCAGACATCACGGGGTGAGGTTTCATCAGTATGCTGATGATTCCCAGTTATATATCTCCTCCCCGAACTCTCTCAGTGAAGCGGCCAATGTGATGGGCCGTTGCCTCGAAGCCGTGAGGGTCTGGATGGGGGTTAACAGACTCAGGCTCAATCCTGACAAGATCGAGTGGCTTTGGATGTTGCCTCCCAAGGATCACGTCGACTGTCCAGTGTTGACTCTTGCGGGGGAAAATATACCCCCTTCGGAGCGGGTTCGCAACTTGGGTGTCCTCTTTGATCCACAGCTGAATTTGGAACATCAATTGACGGCTGTGGCTGGGAGGACCTTTGCACAAGTTTGCCTGCTGCACCAGTTGCGACCCTACCTGGACTGGGAGGCTCTCTTTACAGTCACTCACGCCCTTGTCACCTCACGTTTGGACTACTGCAACGCGCTCTACATGGGGCTACCCTTGAAAAGTATTCGGAGACTACAGTTGGTCCAGAATTCACCCGCGCGAGTGATAGTGGGTGCTCCTCGGTACACCCACGTTACACCTATCCTCCGTGAGCTGCACTGGTTGCCTATTGGTCTCCGGGTCCAATTCAAGGTGTTGGTCATTACCTTTAAAGCCCTATATGGCTCAGGGCCAGGCTATTTGCGAGACCGCCTACTACCTCATAGTTCCCTACGTCCGGTTAGATCCCACAGGCTGGGCCTCCTTCAGGTCCCGTCGGCCAAGCAGTGCCATTTGGCAGGGCCGCGGAGGAGGGCTTTCTCTGTGATGGCGCCCACGCTTTGGAACCAGCTCCCCCCGGAGATTAGGACCGCTCCCACCCTGTTGGTCTTCCGTAAGCTACTTAAGACCTGGCTTTTCCGGCAGGCCTGGGGTTTATAAAATCTGACCCCTGGATGATTGTTTTTGTATTGTTGTTTGTTATGTTTTATGTGTTTTTTATTGTTAGCCGCCCAGAGTCCTTCGGGAGTGGGGCGGCTTATAAATTTTAAAAATAAAAAAATAAAATAAATAAATAAGTTTTGAGTTCACCATCTCTGGAGGTGTTTATGAAGAAGCTGGGCAGCCATCTCTCATGAATGGATGAAATGGTTTTCCTTCATACCAGAGATGGTGGGACTATCTTTACATTTGTATGATTCCTATATATTCCAGTGGGGATTGGGCCAAAGAGGGACTGTGTAGCAGCTCAGGAACAGCGCCCCTGCTCTGCCTCTAGAAGACAGGTGTCAAACCTTGGCAACTTTAAGACCTGGCTGGCTGGGGAATGCTGGGAGCTGAAGTCCACAGGTCTTAAAGTTGCCAAAGTTGATACCCCTCTTCTAGAACATTCTAAATACAGCATCAGGTCCCTCAACCCTTGCCTCAAGTCTCAGAGCATAACTGCCAACTGGTACACCCTGGCTTCTATGATGTGCATTCTCTAGACTAGAGTTTGTACTGCAAACTTCAAAGTGGCAAATAATGCAGAACGCTCCCATTCCAGGGGAGGTCATAATATTACAATGAACATATTCTTTGAGTTTCTGCCCCCTGGAATTCTCCATTTTGAAACCAAGGAGGGAAGAAAGCCTCTGAGCCCCTACTTACCTGAAGTTGGCCAGGTTAGGCTTTGGCAATTTTTGGCAAATCCTCCACAGGTCTTGCAGTTTCTTATCCTGGTCCTGGATGCTAAGGGAAAACAAAATGTTCTCTTGAGATTTAAATAAAAGGGATGGACTTGCACTTTTATTCCTATGTGCAACAGAGTTTTACTTGCAAAGCTGCTATCAGCGGTTGCTGAAGAAAAATCTAAAACTAGAAGATCCTACATTAACCGCTTAGAAATATTAACCAGTTTGGAGGAAAATAATGCAACAGTAATCTCTGTTTTTATTATTACTATCAAATTTATTCATCTTACCCTGAATGCGTAAGGTAAGTATGTGAAAAACAAAATACTAATTGGTCAATATAGGCTTGAAACAGAAGTCTTATCATTATTTATTATTTTTAAATGTATTTGTCACCCTTGTCATCGTGGGGTTACTGTGCAGCTTACAACAGTAAACCAGAAAAAAATGATAAAACAAAATGAAAGCACAACATCGTTGCTTTAAAAAGAACAGTGAAAGAAATGCAAGGAGAAAATCAAGAAAGTAGTTTGAAGCACAACTTTCCAAAGCTTTTTCAAGCATCGACAAGGCCAAACCAGAGATCCCAGGAAAAATCAGCCTTACTTTGCAACCTGGGTCCACTCTTCATACAGGGCATAGGTCATCAGTGGCTCTGGCAGCTCCCTCAGGTAGGACTTCAGGGCCCCTGAGCAAAAATAAGGAGGGAGAGTCAAAGCAAATCAGGCTGGGTGTTGCAGCTGGACATGCCTAGCCAGGCTGTAAGGGAATCCAAATAGCTGCTGCATCCACTTTTGGTCACCAGATTAAAAAAAAGAGGTTGAGACTTTAGAAGAGCAACTAAGATGATTAAAACGCATGAAGAATGGGTTGCAGGAACTGGGTATGGCTAGTCTAGAGAAAAGAAGGACTAGGGGAGACATGATAGTAGTCTTCCAGTATTTGAGAGGCTACTTATTTTCCAAAGCACCAGAATGCAAGACAAGAAACAATGGATGGAAACTGATCAAAGAGAGAAGCAACCTGGAATTAAGGAGAAATGTCTTAACAGTGAGGACAGCTTGCCTCCAGATGTTGTGGGTGCTTCATCACTGGGGGTTTTTAAGAAGAGGCTGGACAGTCACTTGTCTGAAGTGATATAGAGCAGGGGTGTCAAACTGCTGGCCTGTGGGCCGGTTTCATCATACTGGAGCCGTGCCCACCCCATTGCTGCCAATGGCGAAAAAGCTCTGATACGTTGCACAATGTCATGTGACGTCGCGAGTTTGACATGTCTGATATAGGGTTTCCTGCTTGAGCAGGGGGTTGGACTAGAAGACCTTGAAAGTCCCTTCCAGCTCTATTGAGTTTACAGCAAGATCATCAGTGCAGCTAGGAGGACCACCTGTTCCCCACCCAGAGGAGTTGAGGTGAAACCCCTTCCTTTAAACCCACATCAATGATTTAAAAAGCATGTTTAAAAATATTTTCCTATCATTTGCTCCTACTTTGATTTTTTAAATTGCAGAAAACTAAGTTTTAAATAGGTGGCACTTGGCTCAATGCAGTAAGAGTGAGTGGAATCTAGGAGTCCTAGTGGACAACCACTTAAGTAGGAACCAGCCATGTGCTGCAGCTGCTAAAAAAGCCAATGCAGTCCTTGGCTGCATCAACAGAGGGATAACATCAAGATCACATGAAGAGATAGTACCACCTTATATTGTACTGGTAAAACAACACTTGGTATATTGTGTCAGGTTTTGGTCCTCATATAAAAAACATGTTGAGACATTAGAAACAGTGCAGAGAAAGGCAACAAAGATGATTAGGTGACTGGAGGCTAAAACATATGAAAAACGGTTGCAGGAATGTCTACTATAACAAAGAGAAGGACTAGGAGTAACATGATAGCAGTGTTCCAATAGTTGAAGGGCTGTCACAGAGGAAATGGGGGGAGGGATTCAACCTATTTTCCAAAGCAACTGAAAGAAGGACAAGAAGTAACAGATGGAAACTTATCAAGGAGAGGTCCAACCTAGAATTAGGAAGAAATTTTCTAATAGTGAGAACAATTAACCAGTGGAACACCTTGCCTCCAGAAGTTGTGGGTACTCCATCACTGGAGGTTTTTAAGAAGAGATTTGACAGCCATTTGTCCAAAATGCTACGGGATCTCTTGCTTGAGCAGTGGGTTGGACTAGAAGACCTCCAAGGTCCCTTCCAATTCTGTTATTATTTTGTAAATGCCCCTTTTTTGTTAGCTGCCTTTCCACTGGGCAATTGAAGGCAGGTGCAGACATTTTAAATCAACTAAATATTTATATGGCTAAGAGGGATAAAATATGTCTACAGTGTATGTTTATATTTAATTATTTGCCTGGCAAAGTTACCTGTGGCCAATGCTGTTTTGGGATATTTTGAAAAAAATATAATCTGATAATATGAGCTATATTTGGACTCCTCTTCAACTGTAACAAGGAGGGAAACTGTCAGGGTGTTGACAAAATGGTGGCACTGATTGCACCACTTCCCTTTTTCAACCCCCCTGAAACTGAAATTGGAACTGACTTTTTCAACCCATCTCCAAGAACTGATTTGTACCATAGTAAGTCCTGCCACATAAAAACAACGTGGGGAGGACCTCAGTTGTGGCCAATTTTGAAACCAGCAAAGAAATATGGACCTCCACTGGTCTCTCTCCTCAGCTCTGCCCAGTCGATTCTGAGTCCCTCCAAGCCTGGGGCAGAGCTGCAAAGAAGAGGCGTTGTCTCTTCTTTTGGGAGCCACTTACCAGCCACGGCATGAGGATCTGAGTAAAACTCATCCAGGTGCGAGGAGGAGCAATCCAGCGCTGCTTTCAGCTTCTTTAGCTTGGAGGCTCCAGCAGCAATGCGGAATAAGCCCTGGGGAGGACAAGAAACACACCTTCCCTCAGTCAGGGTCTCTTTGCACTGGGATCTACACTGCTTAACTCCCCATTTCATGAAAAAGATCTCCCTTCCAAGATGGCGACGTTGCAAGACATCAGGGAAAGAAACCAGAGTCAGTTCGGCTGACCTCCTATGCCACTTGGGGACACGCTGAGCTGGGGCTGCTGAAGTCCTGATGGAATGGGACACCATTTCTTTGAGCAATCGGATATAGGAGGATCAGCTGGGAGAGGATTCTGTCTTCCTTAGGCCACTATGGCAAAAGACGGCTTGAAAATTCATCTCAGCTAAGTGACTCTTCCCTAATTTCTTCTTGGAATATTCTGTGAACAGAAGTCAGCTTGTGCTTCAAAACAGAAGCATGTTTTTTCCCAGAAAAAAATGGACAAATGGATGCTACAATTATGGCCACAAAGCTGACAGCTTTTCCCAAGTGAACTCTGACTCAACTCTGACATCCTACATGTCCCTTCTTGTCGCCATTTAAGTCCGTTCCCCTTAAAATCCTGATTGGCCAGCAGTTCCGGAACTTTCTAAAATCTGAGACGGAACGTGGGCTCCCTCTCACCCCACTGCCGCGAGAAGGCAGCCTTTGTGCTGTGGCTCCAGGGGTGCATTTATTCTTGCATCTCCTGGGGACAAGGCTGAAAGACACGTAATGCAGACAGAGGTGGGGACCCAGTTCCTAAATACCAAACCACAATGTTGAACCTGCAGCTTTCTGTTCCAACACCCGTTTTTGACAAGGCAAGTGGATGAGCCCGAAGGGGAAACAAAGAGGCCTAGATACGAAGCACAAGACAAAAGGGAAGTCTGAAAGACACACTGCTGCTTCTACAAAACACAGCAAAATAGCAATTTTGGAATAAATGGAAGTAAACTTCACTCCTTGCTACCCTCTTGCACGCGGGCCTTGATTAGCTCCTCAAACCCTCCAGGGGGCTCCACATCACCTTCAGCTTCTTCTTCCTGTGAGGGTGGGGGGAGGACAGGCAACTGGCATGGGGTATCAGAGAACCACCTATAGCTGCCATAGGACCAGTCTGGGCCAACAGTTTGCTACCAGAAGTGCAGTGAAGAAAGAAAGCTAAAATGACTCAAACAAGTGGAAAGATTCAGGCTGCTTCCAAATTACTTGGCCAGCACAATCAAGACAACCTCCATCAAACCCTCTTCAAGGGATTTCAGGAAATTTGGCAGCCAAGATGCCAGACTGGCCGTCTCAGACGAGCGGAAGGCAGCCTGTGGAGGTACAGAGACGTGGGAGCCCCGTGGCCAGGGAGAAACAGCACCCAACAGAAGGCTGTGAATTCAAGTCCCACCTTAAGCACGAAAGCCGGCTGGGTGATCTTAGGCCAGTCACTCTCTCTCAGCCCAGCCCACCTCACAGGGTTGTTGTAGGAAAAAAGGAGGAGGAAAGTGTGTTGGATATGTTTGCCACCTTGAGTTATTTGCAAAACAATAAAGGTGGGATGAAATAAATAGGGCACTGCTCCCACCAGACATGGCCCGTCTAGTATGTGCAAGAGAAGACCCCAGGGGTCTTCCAGCCCAGCAGCTAAACTTGCCCCACACAGGAAAAGAGAAGAGTCGTCCGTGTGGACCCCTCACCCACCTCCTCCTTCATGCCTGTTTCCAAAAGCATCATCACACAGGCCTCAATGGGGACGGCGATTTCTCGGCTGCTACGCTTGAGATGCTCCTCCAGGGGGGTCCCGAAAGCTGGTTTTTCAGTCCACTTGTCTAGTTAGAGAAGCAGAATTAAAAGTCAGCCACACAACTGGGAAACCACCATGCAGAAGAGCGGGGGGGGGGGGAGATCTGCAATATGATCATTAGGCTTCATACAAGAAGATCTGAGCCGTTTGATGGCAGAGCCCTTTAAATTTTGTCCCCAGGAAGAACCAGACACCAAGTTGGCAGCCTGGCAGGAATCCACCCAGACAGCGTCCCGCATAGGCTGAGGTGCCTGGACTGGCCAGGGCTCTCAGCTCACCCGGCCACCTTCGCCAAAGAGTTGACTGCTATGAGGGGCTGGGCTTTTCCAACAGAACTGCTTGGGTGAGTGCCAGAATGCCACCACCATGCTTAGAGAGCAAAGTCAATTGACAGATAATCAACCCAGGGAGATTTTTGCAGTTCTTCAGAAGCATCATTCAGACCCACGTAATACAGTTGCTAGAAAAACATGATTTGGGACCAGGAACAAAAACGAGGTAGTAATGTTGGCTGCAACAATGATTGAGGCATGCTGTCGATTATCAGGTAATTTAATTAAGCGGTAAGCTTTCCTCAGTTTTTCATGCTAGGCTTCCCAGTTCTTGAGGTCTTTGTGGCAAGGGATGCTAAAAGCAGGTTGGGTTGCCACAGGGGTGAGAACAGGGAGCTAAGGCAGGAAGATCCACCTCTCATCGAATTACCTGGCCAGAGGTGAGCCGTTCTTACAAGGAAAGGTGATTTCTTGGTGATCAGAGTTTCCTCCCATGGTGACTATTCTGTCCAATCAGGAACAACAATAGCAACTGGAGTTATATACCGCTCCACAGTGCTTTACTGCCCTCTCTGAGCGGTTTACAGAGTCAGCTTGTTGCCCCCAACAATCTGGGTCCTCATTTTACCGACCTCAGAAGGATGGAAGGCTGAGTCAACCTTGAGCCGGCCAGGATCGAACTCCTGGCAATTGGCAGAGTCAGCCTGCAATGCTCCATTCTAACCACTGCACCACCAGGGCTCCTAGAAAGCTGTTTGGCAGCCTTTTCCACTGCAATATTGTAATCCAACCACTGGCAATCCAGCCACCCCCAAGTCAGTCTCTCTCTCTCCCCCCCCCCTCCATCTGGACTGTTTTTGATTGTTTTGAGCTGCTGGAAGTTCCCAGAGTGCAATTTTCTTTTTTAAAAATATGTTTTTAATTGCACAGGCTACCCTGAGCTGCATGCTGATTGGGCAGGTATACATAGAGTGAGTAAATAAATAAATATCTTTTCTCAATTAAACAATCTGAAGAGTGGCCCACACAAATAATTTCACTTCTCTCCAGTCTGCTAAGTACATTTAACACCATTTCAGTTCTCTTCTATTCTAAACCAAGAGGTTAAGATAGAGGTGCCTGAGCAGACTGTTAGTTTTTCAGGAAGAACTTAGAAAGGAGACGTCTGAAAGCTCTCCCAGACATGTGTTGCTTCCACAAAGATGTTTGTCTTCAACCCCTGCAGACAAAAATGGCGAATCCTTGATGGCCCACCCTGAATCAGAGTTGGGAGGGGCCCCAGCGGCCATCTGGCTCCGTGCAGCACAGAATTAAGCCTCTCCAATAGGCTGCGATAGAACAGGCTGGGATGACTTCAGAGAAACTAGCCCCTGAAATTGTGCTTTCTGCGAGGCTGTGCTTATGTCACAACCTTCAGCACTGGTGCACAGAAAGGCCGAAATAATGGTGCTCTTCTAATGCTGCTGAACTACAAAGGCCAGCAGCCCCAACCGTGAAGTCAGAGGGTGGGAGTTGTTGCTTGGCAGTATCAAAGAGACCACAAAGTCCATCCCTGGAGGTCAGGATCTACCACTGTCTAGAGCAGTGTTTCCCAAACTTGACAATTTTAAGGCATGTGGACTTCAACTCCCAGAATTCCACAGCCAGCATTGCTGGCTGTGGAATTCTGGGAGTTGAAGTCCACATGCCTTAAAATTGTCAAGGTTGAGAAACACTGTTTTAGATAATTCTGGAAAAGCACAAAGCTGTCTAGAGCAGTGTTTCCCAAACTTGACAATTTTAAGGCATGTGGACTTCAACTCCCAGAATTCCACAGCCAGCATTGCTGGCTGTGGAATTCTGAGAGTTGAAGTCCACATGCCTTAAAATTGTCAAGTTTGGGAAACACTGGTCTAGAGTAACTTCCCTCCCTCATTACGCTGCCTCTCCTAATGAATTTATGAAACCTATGGCCTTCATCAATGCAGTGGCTTGTAAAGGAGTATTTCGTTTTTTAGGGTTTAGAATATTAGCAGAAAACATGTCATTTCAGGGCTAATTAGCCACAGCCAGGACTAATTTACCTTGATAAACTAAATACTACTGTATATATTTTACTTGATTTTTAGATGATTTCATATTTTTGCCATTTTTATTGCTGATAACTGCCTTTAGTATATTTTACATGATTATAAAGTTGCTTCTCAGAGTGAGATGGGTGGTATATAAATTTAATAAACAAACAAATAAAGCAGGTAGAAAAACCATTCAGCCTTCTTAGGACAATCTAGCTCAGCTAACCAGCTATTTACTGGGATACTTGTGGGATTCCTCCATCTTTGAAAGGTCTTTTCAAGGTCAAATAGCCCCTCCTCTTCTTTCCTGCAGGATCCGCTAAATCAGTGGTTCTCAACCTGTGGGTCGGGACCCCATTTGGGGTCGATCGACCATTTCACGGGGGTCGCCAAACAACGCAGTCCACCATTTTTTTCCCCCTTTTCCTTAGCTTTGCTACTCCCTTTTCTTCTATTGGCTTTTGAAAGCCAATAGAATAGACTCTCTTGAATAGAGTCTAATTCTATTGGCTTTCCAAAGCCAATAGGAATTGTCCAGGCTGTCTCTGCCCTGCTGAGCCCGCCAAAAGTCCCAGTCTGCAAACGGTGCTGCACCAGTTGAGTAGTCCTCGACTTACGACCGGTTGGGGGGTCGCAGCATTAAAAAGGTTGAGAACCACTGCACTAAATTGTTCTGGAGGCTGGTCTTTGGGAGGATTCAATGGCACCTCCTTCCCGGCAGCCACGTTTGAGAAGGCTATTTTGCACGCACAATATTTAAGGACAGGGCACCACCATAAAAAGTTTTGCAAGCCGGAGGCTACGCTCCGACATCTCTGGGAAGAGGTGCTGATCAGAGCAGACTTCGCCAAGAACTTCATATATTCCCCAATAAGGTGGCTGAGGAAAAGCGCCAGGTACCAGGGGAGAGACCAAGGCTCCACAACTGGCCAAGGAGTGAGCTGTCATGCCTCACCTGTCCAAGGAATGGCAATGCTCTGGAGGAGCTTCAGACGAGTTCCTAGGGGTTTGTTAGTGGGTTAAAAGGGAACTGGGAGAGTTTCAGGGATGCAACTGCAAAAGGGAGAGGATAATTTTGGAAGATGTACCATTAAGAAAACTCCCGTGTTTTCATTCAAGAAGGACAGCATGCGGAAAGGGGGCGAAGTAAACTGGAGGAGGAGGAGGAGGAGGAGGAAGAGTGCAGAAATGGCACAGGCAAAGCAGGAGGCAGAGCATGGAGTTACTTTACCTTGATGGGCCTGGATTTCGGGGAGCACCTTTTCTAAGACTGCTAATGCTTTTCTATGGTAATCTGCTTGGGCTTCTAATAACTGAGAACAAAACCCATATTTTAAAACAAAAGTTAGCACTGAATGAACAGAACAGCACACAGACAGAAGGATTAAGCTGGTAAAATGTATGTCCAAGAACAAGGTATGCTATCTGGGGGGGGGGGCAGTTACTCACCGAGATAAAGTGTCTTGCATAGTCCCCTTCTTTGGAAATGAAGTTATACATATCTGCGGCAAGTTGGTCCTGGAGATTTTGGGAAGGGGTGTAGAAAAAAGAAGATGCAAGTTAGTATCACAAGACACTGCCTCACCCAGCAGCCCTCTGGAATAGGCACAGCAATCTGGCAGAGTAAATTAAACAAGCAGACAGATCCTGAACCTCCAGCATAATGAAGTTAGGACACGAAAAGGGAGACAAATGCATAATCTCATTGGATCCTCTGTATTCTTTATGAAAATGACCATATCCTGCATAAGGTCCAAGAATCCTTACTTAAACTTCCCTTTCAGAAAAAAGAAACAAATTCTATATCTTGCATCATTATCTCATGCGCCTATTTTAAATGAATATAATCACAGTCCATTACCTACAATACAATGCAGGAAAACTTATTCAATATTGGCTTCAAACTTTCTACCATTTTTACACGATCCAAATAATTTGTGCAAGAAGTATAAACAAAGCTATACACTATACTTTATTAAAAAAATCAGATAAAAGTAAGCATGCAGTCATGCTTAAATGTGAATGAACCCTGTTGAATTTTCAATATTTCTGCAGAAATGTAATATAAAACAGGTGGACTTCCTTGCACAGATTTTTCCACAACATTTGTGTAGGATTGTGGTCGAGATCTTGACTTAGCCCTTCCAAAACATTGACTTTCTTCTGCTTTAAACAATTCTTTGGTCATACCAATTGCTTGCTGCATGATCCACCTTCTCTTCAGCTTCAAACCACAGTTCTCTTTTTCATCTAGAATTTGGTGATGCAATTCAGGATTCAGAGTTCTATCAATGATGAAGGTCATCCTGGTCCAGATGCAGCAAAGCAGAACCAAACCCTGATGCTGCCACCAGTTGGGATAAGGTTCTTGGAAGTTTTGCCTTTCAACAAATATTTTTCATTCAAAAATGTATATTTGGGTCTCAGCTATCTACAGAACACTCTTCCAATAGCCTTCTAGCTTATCCTTTTGGAGAGGCATGTCTTTCTCCTTGCAACCTTGACATGCACACCACTGTTATTCAGCATTCTGCTAACGATGGTGTCATAAACACTGACATTCACCGGTTCAAGAGATGCCTTGCCTCATTTTACCAACCTCGAAAGGGTGGAAGGCTGAGTCAAAAGGGCTACTGGGATTTTTATTTATTGGCATTTCATTCTTTCCCGACTGCCCATCTCTCCTCAAGGGGGGGGGGCTCTGAGCACTATAACTTAGCTGGATTGAAAAGTTGGTTCCTATTAGTTCTAGATTTCTCAACTTTAGCAACTTTAAGATGTATGGACTTCAACTCCCAGAATTCTTTAAGATTCTTTATTCTTAGAACAAATAATTTATTAATTCTTTAAGATGTATGTGGACTTTTAGGAATTGAAGTCTACACATTTTGAAATTGCTGAGATTGAGGAACATCGTTCTAGAGCAGGGGTTCTCAACCTTGGCAACTTTAAGACTTGTGGACTTCAACTCCCAGAATTCCTCAGCCAGCAAAGCTGGCTAAGGAATTCTGGGAGTTGAAGTCCACAAGTCTTAAAATTGCCAAGGTTGTGAACCCCTGTTCTAGAGACTGCATACAGGAGACCAAGAACAGTTATCATCAATTTGAAGTAAGTTTCCTAGGAAGCCAAGGCTGATGTTAGTAAGATAAGGAACCTCTCCCTCTGACCTGAATGAAATTCACCTGTTAGACTGCTGTGAGAGGCATAAAAGATATTAATAAATAAGTTCCAGATGAAAAATCCTGTTTGCCCTGAAAACCAAGAGATGTTGTCACTAGGGATTGCCAAAGGTGCTTTTTCCCAAAGGCAACTGAACTTTCTTGGTTTTTTTCCCCTTTGAAAATGTTTCTCTTCTCATCCAAGAAGCTTCTTCATTTCTAACTTTCATTTCCTTTAAACGTTTTCAAAGGGGAAAAAACCCTCAAGAAAGTCCAGTTGCTTTTTGGAAAAAGACTGACTGAGAATCTCCATTTTGCTAGGAGGGGAAATGTAAAACTTCTCCAAACATTCATCAATTCTCCATCAGAGACTGGAGCAAGAATTCCCAAAAGAACACACCTTGCATTGCTCTACTTTATTTCCCGCTTCATCCATCTCCTCCTTAAGGGAATCTATTTTAGATGGGAGCCCTTGGAAGTTAGTAGCTGAGGTTTTGTGGGCTTGGTTCCACCTGTATAAAAGAAAGCAAACATCCAGAAAGAATTCCAGGAGAGAAAACACTCATGAAGGATTAATGGTCTTCCTAACCACGGTGCCCAAATCCTGTTCTTCCATAATGAATCTTTGTTTTCCACGCAGAGGCATATTTTGCAGAACAGGATCTTCAAATGAAACTATTTATGAAAAGGCAAGCAGGAAGTGAAGAAATAGAGTTTATGAGCTGAATATCTCCTTGAGACAGAACTTAAAGGGAGGATGTCTGGTCTGTAACTCTAACTAAATAAACATGTCACGCCAACTGCATGCCAAATAGATATGGGACCTAGAAAGCCACACTCTTCCTGGTGTACATGGACTCCTATTCAAAGCACGACAACATAACTGAAAGTAGAGGATCCATTCTATTGCCCTCAGGCACAGAGATGGTGTGGCTGATGAGTGAGGGCTTGTGGGAACTGGAATACATTTGGGGGCCCGTAGGTTCTTCTCCACTTGGCTACTTGAGCAGAAAGCTGTCTTATGTGTCAGATTACTACGTTATGGGAGAGTTGATGCTGTCCTAGGGAACAACATTGGTTATATTTGTATCAAATCAATCCCACTGGCATCTTTTACTCATTGCACAAGCACGCCTACAGTACATCGACTTTGGATGGGAGCTGATAATCCCCTGGGCAGCTGAGCCAAGTGAGGAAACAAGGCAGACTCTCTCACCTCCAAAGGGTGAGTGGAGGGCAATGTCTGGAAGGCTGGATATGGCCTGAAAATCAACTACGATACCGATAAAGGAGAATATTTGTAGCTCAGGGTTGAAACGAGGGGTCCTTGGTGTTCTCTGAGCTTGGTTGCTTTCTTGCAGATGTTTCATTACCGAAATTAGGTGCCGCGATGATGTTATCTAGTTTGGGTAATGAAACGTCTGCAAAAGAACGACCAAGCTCAGAGAGCACTGTGGACCCTTCAGATCAACTATGGAGCAGGTACATAGGAGGGGGGGTGTGATACTTCCTGAGCATAAAAAGGAGCAGGAGAGTTGTACTTTACCGAGCTCTTGCAGAATCCCAGTCTAGGACCAGCTTAGCAAGCTGCTTCCTCTGTTTCTGAATATTGGGGATTTCCATCTGCAAGCAGAGACAACAGGAAACTGACATTTGACACTAACTATACAACCATTATATTTATCTAAAACCCACTGAACGTTGCTGCTTTTATTACTCTTCCTGGTATAAGAGGTAAGCCTAGGTTAGGATCGATGGGGGCAGCTGGAGCAGCTTACCTCGGTGAGTTGATTCAGTGGGTCCAAAACATCCTTTTCAACCTGCATCTCATGGTGAGAGAGTTCCATTGCAAGTTTATTCTCCGCTTCTCCACAAGTCTCCAGCATTTTCCTACAAGCAAAGAAAAACATTACCGGCTTCATCCGATTTGCTCAAAGGAGTGGAAGGAGCCATTCCCCCAGCAAAATATAGCACATTGGCTTGCTACAGTTCTCCAAACATTTCTCAACAGGCTCAGGAAGGTGTGAATGGATGGGAGAGCCTCTATTCTCACAGGTGCCTGTGGAAAAACAAGATTCTAAGAGATGGTTCAAGGGACCATCCAGACTGTGCTAACCAAGCTGTCTCTCTCTGGCTGGAATCATCACATGGGAATAGCTGTAGAGGTACAAAAGATTAAGCCGTTTCTGCCCCTCTGTGTTTCAAAAGTGTGCAAATATGGTCTGCTGCATATACAGGCAGTCCTTAACTTGCAACAGTTCATTTAGTGATCATTCAAAGTTACAGAGAGGGGGGGGGCAAGTGCCTCTTTCTCTCTCTCTGTCTCTCTCTCTCTCTGCAAATGGCAGAGGAGGCTGGGAGCCGCAGGTTGCTGACCTGTGCTCTAGTCATTTTGCTAATCCCCACATGGAAACGGCTTCTTCCTCTAAGAATCCATGACTGTAATTCTTCAGCAATTCATAATTTTCTAAGAAACTGTGTTTAGTGAGGTGAGAGCTTACATGGCAGAAAGGGGAAAGTGAGGCTGGCTCTCAATTTGCGAAGAAGGCAAGGACGACGGGCAGATCCAGAAAGGAGGTTCAGCTCTTACCCCAGTAGTGTTTCCTCGCTGAGCTGCTGGGAACCTTCCTGCATGTTCTGAGCAAACGCCGTGAGGGGAAGCTTCTTCTGCAAAGGAAAAGAAGGACAGTTCGTAGCAAGGTAATATCCCAAGCCTCCTAACCGCCTGGAGGAAACACGGCACCTGCCAGCTCACGCGTACAACCATTCAGCCTGCAGGAAAAATCAGGGGACAATCGCAGGAAGGAGGAAAGCAAGCTCAGGTCTGAGGGTTGGACAGAGACTTTGAGACACGTCAGCTCGAGAAAGATAGGTAGGACAGTCAACGTGGGGCATGTACAGGACACACACTGGTGAAGCCTTGGGATGCCCTGCAAATGAAAGCAGGCCTGATGGGCTCTCGATGCTGCTCTGTGAATCTGAAATGAGGGACCAGAACCGCTTTCTGGTGAGAAGGAAGCAGCTCTGGGGAGGAGAGGTTGTGTTGGGTCACCTCGCATGAAGCTGGGATCTGAACCCATGCAAAGCAACTGGAAAATGGTGGAGACTTTCTTCGCAGGGGTTTCTTTCTCTGTCCTTTATTTTTGGCTTAGCATTTTGTGATTGCCTCTTCTTTCTTGCATGTTAGAGCAATACAAAGAAGTAAATAAAAAAAAAAGAACACCAAAGACGATCCTGCCATCTTGGGGGAAGAGAGGAAACACGGACGCACGGCAAGAGGCTTGAGAGGGGAAAATTACAGGCAAGGGCTACTCACGTGTCTCTTTTCAGCCTCGGTTCCATACTGTCCTTGCAAACACATCACGAGCCGCTTACAGGAATTGTGGCAAACAGACCTCACGTTGTCAAGACGTCGCTCGATCTAGTCAGAGAGCAAACAGGACAGGATAAAGGCATGTCGTTAAGTGAGCAATCGTTAGTCTAGGACAGGGGGGTCAAACTCGCAACGTCACGTGGGCGCGGTTTTGGCATGACGCATCCTGCCTGTGGGCCGGACGTTTGACACCCCTGGTTTAGGACTATCTGTACACCCAAATGTAACTATTCTTTTACCTATCCTTTCAGTCTTCTCCCTTTCATCCCCCCAGCTATGTGCTACATAATACTCCCTCCTCAGCTCTATGTACCATGCGCAGGGTGTTCCATACCTGATTACATGCTCACATTTTTATTTAGAACTTTAAAATACCATTGGATTCTTTGTGGATTTACTGGCAATCTGGTGAGAGCCATTTTGGTGTAGGTGCTAGCCTGGAAATCAGGAGGAAGTGAGCTCCAGGCCTTCTTTCTTAGGCATGAAAGCCGGCTGGGTGACTTTGGGTCACTCACTGTCTCACAGAGTCGTTGTTGGGAGAAAAATAGGAGCAGGAGTTGAATAAAGTATATTAAAGGGGCAGGCTATCATAATATACTAAGCCAATATGAGTAGTCGTTAACTTACAGCTACAATTGAGCCCAACATTTCTGTTGCTAAGCAAGACAGTTGTTAAATGAATTTTGCCCCATTTTTACGACCTTTCTTGCCAGAGTTGTTAAGTGAATCACAGCGGTTGTTAAGTCAAGATACAGCAACGGTCATAAATATGAGTCGGTTACCAAGTATCTAAATTTTAATCATGTGACCCTGGGGATGCTGCAACAGTCATAACTCACTTTTTTCAGTGTCACTGTAATTTCGAACAGTCGAATGGTTGTTGAGGACTTACCTGTACACTATATTAATAATATACTACATTGACATGTTACAACATCCTAAGTTATTGGGGAGAGCTTGATGCATATGAAGACCAACAGCAGCCAAAGTGGCAGCTGTGACTTCATACTATTGTGAACAGATGATGATGATGAAGATAATATTAATAACAGAATCTCTGAAGGACCGTGAAGAAGATGCAGTGAAGCTACTATGCCATGAAGGGTCACTGAGTACTGGAGAGACCAAACCGGCCTATAAGAAAGAGCAAAGGAAGAGTCGGAAAAGGGCATGGCAAAGCAACGTATTACAGGGACAGTGCATTAAAAAAAGCAGGCAAAGGCAAGAACCGGCAATGAGCAGGAAAGTTGAAGAAAGAGACAGACTAATTCCAGTTGCACAAGGCCAAGCCTTATGAACAAATGCATACAAAGCCAGAACTGAGGCGACAGCAATAAACAGCAAATGTTGCTTCTGCAAAGAAGCTGAAGGATCGGTGGTCTATTTTGTTAGCTGCTACAAGAAGATCTCACAGACTGACTACAAACAACAGCATGGCAACAGTGAAGTATTGGAAGATCTGCAAGAAATACCATTTGCTTGCCAGCAAGAACTAGCGGGACCAACAAATAGGCAAAGTAATAGAAAATGAAGAAGCTAAAGTGCTCTGGTCTTGGGTGCAATCCCCAAACATCTGGAGTCAATTGCAAAAGGCAGCTTATAACTTTACTAAGAACAGCTTATATCCTGTGACAATACACCATCAAACAACATCTGCCTATTCCAGGACCTTAGAAAGGACTTGATAGGTTCTTAAAAATGCCAAATCCAGTCTAAACATTGACTGACTGTGTGACAGTTATAATAAAATATTATATAATTATAATATAATAATATTGCAATAATTTTAGCACAGAGGTATCAATGGAATTTGGTTTAAGAAATGTGCTACGATAGCTATAAATTGGATGAATGAACTGAAATGCTGAATTCCATCAGAATGAAGCCTACAAGTATCTGGGCATTTTATGTGGGATAACATCAAATATGGACAAGTTTAGTAAAGAATACAACTCCAAAGAGTAAGAAAAGTGCTAAAGACAAAATTGATGGTGGAAGCATCATCAAAGTTAACAATACCTGAGCCAGACCTGCAATACGATACATTGCTGGAGTTATTAACTGGACACAAGCTGAGCTGGACAGGTTGGGCCAAAAAACAGAAAGCTGGAGACTATTCATTATGCATTACATCCCTGCAGTGATACTGATAGATTAATACCTGCCCTGCAGAAATTGAGGCAGAGGTTTACTTCAAATCAAACAAACTGTCAAAGAATGAAACGCAGGCATTGCCTGTTTATGCAAAAGAGCCAAGAACAAGCATTGATGCATGTTAAAAATTGGATCTTATTGATTGTACAGGAAACAAAACATGAATATTGAAGTAATAAAAATATGACTGGAAAATGGAGAAGCTAAAGTGCTCTGGGTGTAATCTCAAAACATCTGGAAGAAAAACATCACACAGTCAATTTCTACCAACGCTAGAGGGGAAAGTGGACAACAATAGTGTAAAACCTGTCGATGGCTTACATAACACACTAGATCAGCGGTTCTCAACCTATGGGTCGGGACCCCATTTGGGGTCGATCGACCATTTCACGGGGGTCGCCAAGCAAGGCTGTCCGCCATTTTTTCCCCTTTTCCGGCGGGTGCCTTACCTCCCTTGGGTTGGGCCAGCTGGTGGCCCAGCCGGTGGTTGGCCTGCTCCGTTTCTGCCGCTTGCCAGCTACGCCTCGGCCGGTGCAAGGGGCGGCACCACGCATGCGCGGCGCTCCTGGGAAGGGAAAGTCCTTGACTTATGACCGGTTGGGTAGTCCTCGACTGACGACTGGTTTAGTCCTCGACTTATGACCGGTTTAGTCCTCAACCTACGACCGGTTGGGAGGGTCGCGGCATTAAAAAGGTTGAGAACCACTGCACTAGATATAAGTGTGACTGAAAAGAAGTAAGTGTGGACAATTGATGTGGCAATACTAGGGGATTGCAGAATAGAAGAACTGAACATCACAAAGCATTCAAAGCTGAAAAAATCCGGCCATGACGATCCAAGTGATTATTAGCACTCTAGATCAGAGGCCCCCAACCTTTTGAGCACCAGGGACTGGTTCCATGGAGAGAGGTTTTACTGTGGACCGGAGGGGGCCTGATTTCACGTACTGCCTGCATCCTGTGGATGGGGCCTTGCTGGTTTGCGCAGACTGGTTTCTGGCATGCTGTGGCCCGGGTTGGGGACCCCTATTGTAGGTGCCATATCTTGGACAGCACTTAGAAAATCTGTGCATTGACAAAACCACAAAATCTCAATTACACAAAGTCACACAACTTGGATCCACATAGATAATATGCTGATACGTTACCACATCCTAGGTTCTTGGAAAGAACTTGATGGCTATGAAGGCCAACAGCAGCTAAAGAACTGGCAACTGTGACTTCACATTGTTGTGAAGAGACAGTAATAACAATATTTTGAAGTCACAGATAAAAAGGGAAAATAACATGTAAATGTATATGGGTATCTGCACTTTGATAACTGCCAGGTGAGGGGTGAAACTACACATATACAACTCTTAATTAAGGAACTGAATGCTTCCAGATGGATGGCTCCTGGCAGCCTAGTTCTCCTTGAGGGGGTGAATGGGTGGGGTGGGAATGGAAGCTGTAATAGAGGAAAGGATTCTAAATAAAAGACTGGCTGGCTTCACATGTTGTATTAATTTAGTGAATTACTGATCCGTTTTCACACTTCAGAGTTAGCCTTGGCAGGATTCCTGCAGCATGCTATATTAAAATCAAGTCAGCCAATGATATTATGGCATCCCATGATGCATGAATCTGGCCTTTATCATGGGAGTCTACCAAAGGCCATATGAATGAGGAATCACACAATAAAATCTTTGTGAAGAAGAACCTGTGCTGTAAAAGAGAGGTTGTTGGCAAGACACAAGTGATAAGCAGCACACATTCTCTTAAAGAGCTTTTGTCCAAAGGTCTGAGAAGTTAAACCAAGGTCGGCTGGAAATCTCCACATATAAATTGCATGTTATTTTCCTGCTACATTTTTATGAGTGGGGAAAGTTAAATGGAAGCCTTCTGGAACATTTTCATTTGAACAAACCCGAAAAACTATGGTTCAGCTGCAAATGTAGGAATCCCCTTAAGACTTTTTAAGTTCTGTCTTTTAAAAAAATTGCCTTGGAACAGGGGTCGCCAAACCTGGCAAAGACTTTGTGGACATCAACACACATGGCTGGTTCAGGAATTCTGGGAGCCCACAGGCCGTACAGTTGCTATAGTTGCCCACCCCTGAGCTAAACGATGCACTTCCTTGATAATGCTGAGATGCTGAGGCCCAACGCCGGCCATCTGCCAGCCTGTCCTTTCTGAGAAGCAGAGGGAGGAGGCGGCTGACTTGCAGGGCATCTGCACCCCCAGGGGAATCGCTATTCTGAATCATCTAATGATGCTCCAGTGAAGCGAAGCAACTTAGGCAGAGGAGGAAACTTGCTGTGGGTTGTGGGGTGGAGCTGGGCCCTGTGTTGCAAGACTCCTCCCAAACGGGAGTTTTGTTTCTTCCCATTAGCACAGTGGTTCTCAACCTTTTTAATGCCACGACCCCCAACCGGTCGTAAGTCGAGGACTACTCAACCGGTTGTAAGTCAAGGACTACTCAACTGGTGCAGCACCGTTTGCAGAATGGGACCTTTGGCGGGCTCAGCAGGGCAGAGACAGCCTGGACAATTCCTATTGGCTTTTGAAAACCAATAGAATTAGACTCTATTCAAGAGAGTCTCTTCTATTGGCTTTCAAAAGCCAATAGAATAAAAGGGAGTAGCACAGCTAAGGAAAAGGAGGGAAAAAATGGCGGACTGCGTTGTTTGGTGACCCCCGTGAAATGGTCGTTTGACCCCAAATGGGGTCCCGACCCACAGGTTGAGAACCACTGCATTAGCAGGACCAGCTGCTGCATGGGGGGGGGGGGCGCAAATGGCTCACAGTCATTTCTTTCCCCAAGAAAGGTGGAGGGAGATCAGAATCCTCCTGCCCAGCTTCTTCAACAGCTGTCAGTTGAACACCAGGAACACCGCTGGTGAAGGAACCTGGACTTAAAGTGAACACAGCTCAGGTTTCCACACAACCCTCCCTCTTCACAGGGCACAAAAATGTTTTTCACACTGATTACCACGGATGATACCTAGTCGGGTAATAATAAAAATGATGATGATGATGATGATGTCTGCAAGCCAGCAACCCAGCTCAGAGAGCACCAAGAACTCCACAATTAAAAAAAAAACCCTACCGAATCACTTATCTTAATTCTGATATTTTGGCTTCCAATTATAATTTAAAATTATTGCTGAACAAATGCTTTTATTTTAACCTATTTCCCTATGGCAGTGGTTCTCAACCTTTTTAATGCCGCGACCCCCAACCGGTCGTAAGTCGAGGACTACTCAACCGGTCATAAGTCGAGGACTACTCAACTGGTGCAGCACCATTTGCAGAATGGGACTTTTGGCGGGCTCAGCAGGGCAGAGACAGCCTGAACAATTCCTATTGGCTTTTGAAAGCCAATAGAATTAGACTCTATTCAAGAGAGTCTATTCTATTGGCTTTCAAAAGCCAATAGAATACAAGGGAGTAGCACAGCTAAGGAAAAGGGGGGGGGGAAATGGCGGACTGCGTTGTTTGGCGACCCCCGTGAAATGGTCGTTCGACCCCAAATGGGGTCCTGACCCACAGGTTGAGAACCACTGCCCTATGGTATTCCCTCCATATTATTATTAGACGGCAAGCACCCAAGTGGAAGGCTGAAGCAAAGATGGCAAGGCACAATAAATACAGACACGACAATCCAGTTGGATGCAGATCTCATTTGATCGTGCAAGGAGGTGTTCGTCAACCCAAGTCAATACATTCTTTTTACGGTGACAGACCAGCAAATTGTCAATCCAAAAAGCGCATTCTGCACCTGCGGGAATAATGCTAGGAAGATGATAACGGTCCCCTCCAGGTCATGAACTGGTAACTGAAAGAGGCACAATTCCATATACAAACAGTAGGTGCTGTCCAGAATGGCCAAGAACACGAGAGGAGCCCAGGCGGCCTGGGGGAAGGTGTCCCTTGCAGCTCCCAAGGCCTCTTAGTCAGAGCTGTTTGCAGAGATTATGTTTGAGAGCAATAAGCCATTTAGCTGTGTTTACGGAAACATATGACATACTTCTTCCTGATGGAAAGGACTTTGGAAACGATGAACATGCTTGGGAGAATACTGTATGTCAAAGAACAGAAACATTTGGCAAAAGGCACGCAGTGCATGAAGTTGGGCCTAGGACAAAACGTGGAAGCTTCTGCTCAGCAAGTGGATGAGTAAGCAATTCCGCCCGCGTCACAGAACCAACAAAGCCATGCCTGCAAAAAGCACTTGCCAATAGCTGGAGAGAAGAATTCCTGGCTTCCCTCCATCTCCACGCCTCCAAATATTTCTTAGGATTACCAAGGCAACAAAATAGGAGAATGCAGGGAAGACTTGAGAAAAAATGCAGATATTTAAATAGGAATATGGGCAAATTTGTTATCTTTTCCCTGATTTGGGTAGACTATAAACTAACTTAAATACATGAAGGAAAGCTGAAATGTAACATTATTCAAAGAAAAGAGCTTAACGCTTTCAGTTCATGCTTATAAAGTGAACACCCCAAACCCCAAATTTGTAAGGTAGAATCTAGTTAAGTTTTAAATGCACAGAATAAACAAGAGAGATTTGACAGTTGGAACTTGATGCTCATGGCTAGTCTTCAACATACATCTTCAACAAAATTTCAAGTTGCTCACTGCAACATACATCCACAAATGCATTTTTTCCCAAATGGGTAGACACACCTTCATGCTCCAATAACACCATAATACTTCACTCTACAATAAGCCACTGAGATTCAAAGAGTTATTTCTCACTTTCTCTAGATTAAGCTAACCTTTTTGAACCCTGTTTCAGCTAGTCCGTAATTTGAAAAAAGCCTCTTCTGTCTTGCAAAGACATACTTGCTTTTCCCACTCAACATTTTGAAAAGCAGCAATCAAAACCCCCAAGGGCAGCTTTATTATAGGAATTTAAACACAGCCATTAATCAATTACCTGTAGCAGGTCATCACTGAGGACTTCCGTTTTCTCAGCTCTGTAAAAGAAGAAAAAAAGTCATTGAGTGTTTTTGTACACATATTAATGATAAGGTAAGTAGGACTGATCAAACAAGAATTTTATCTAGAAAGGATAATTCCGCTGATTACGAAAGCAGTCCGCTCTATCACCGATGATACATAAGCAACAGATACTATAAATCTTTACCGTGTGTCACTTAATCAAGAGAGTGAGGGCAATGTTTTTTTCCCCTATTAACTTTCCAGATGGCTCCAACTAAAGCTGTTTATGTACAGACTTTGCAACATCCTTGGGAACTGGCAGAGTTTCACAAACGCCTCTGAACTCCACTTGTGCTTCTTGTATCCAGCCAGGGTCTTTTCTCTCTCTCTCCCACTGTCCATTACAGAAACTTAAATTTAAAAATTCAACCATATCAGTACTTTGTAGAGTTTTTTCAGTATTTCCATCTTTCTGCCTTTTAAAATTGGGAACATGGTCCTTTCAGCAAAGTATTTCTGGCTCAGTGGAGTGTTTTAAAATGTTGGCTACCTGTCCTTAAATGATTATATATCAAGCACAGCAGAAGCTTTTATTTTACTTGAGTTCAGTTTATATTAAAAAAAAATCAAATCACAGCTTCAGGTTTCCAATTGTTTAATATCAACTCCTTCACTAAAATTCACTGCGGAACCACAACTTGGAGAAGAAGCAAAAGTGGATTTCTGGTAGAAGGAACCGTCAACCTAGGTTTGTGTTCAAGGGCAATGAATTCCTAAATTCTTACACGCGGTAGTAAAAAGGTGATAGTGGCAGAACACTTGTGAAAAAACTCTTGCAGAAGAGAGTTTCATTCACGTAGTCTACAAGGTCCTGGCTACAACTCCCACTTGCTTGAATGGGAGCCACCAATCCAGCAGGACCCCAAGTCATGAACCATTTTTTCCTCTCCCCTGTCTAGAGTAACTCCAGGGAACGATGTTACCAGTTTGCCGAGATGTTTGTTGATACACAGCAGGTCCATTCTGCTTTTCTTTCCATTCAGACCCCGACACTTCGGGATTTCTACAGCAGATCCAGTTCAACCTGGACTGGCAATGCACAGCTGGATGGCATCAGCTCACTAATGATACCTCACCCCATATAAACAGCCATAGCAACAGCACTTAGACTTATATATTGCCCCATAGTGCTTTACAGCATTCTCTGGTTTACAGGGTGGGCATTATGTGCATATTGCCCCCCCCCCCAACAATCTGGCCCTCATTTTACTGATCTTGGAAAGATGGAAGGCTGAGTCAACCTTGAGTCCTGTCAGGATTGAACTCTGGGCTGTGGGCAGAGTTTATCTGAGACACAGCATTCTAACCACTGTGCCATCAGGTTTCATGCAGATGTTTAATGACATGCCTCCCAACAGGTTTCATGCAGCTGTTTAATTACATGGGGAAGCACTGAGTCCCATGGAACCCCTCCCATACCCCCCTGGAAAAAATCAAAGATTCTAGCATATCCTGTCTGAAAAATACCGACTGAAATTGCCTGCTTAGGTAGGCTTGGAACCACCGTAACTCAGTGCTTCCAGCCTCCAGCTGTTGCAGGTGACCCAGAAGGCTACTACAGTTGATAGATATGAATATGCTCAGAAGTGTAATGGGACCAGGTGTTGCACACAACTCAAAATTGACAAACTCAAAATCCTGGCAGTCCTGACAAAAATAATTGCTTAGAGCAATCCTGTCATCTCAGTGCCCTGACCATGCCTGAGTCTGGGCTGATAGGAAACTAGCATCCTCTGTGGCCGATGCCCTGCTTGACAATCATCCATAAAAAGGGAAGATTGAAGATTGGGAGAAAGTGGCCAAAAGCGGCCAGATCACAGGTGGGTTTCTTCAGGACAGGGCACAATAGATCTCCCTTAAGGTAGGCAACATGATACCCTCCCTCCAAAAAGTGTTAACTGTCTGCCATATTCAGTTACAGCCTGGGAAGTGGGGCGCTTCCCACCAGATTCCTTCACTAACTCCATTAGTGCCTCTGATCTAACTGCTGCATCTGATCCTGGAGGAAGCCAGAGAGGCTGTTGTCAGCCATCAGGCATGCTAGATTTTATGACCTCCCACTAATTTTTTCTCCCAAGAGTATTGGTTAGCAAATATCCTGCAATGCAAAATTAGACTATAGAAATGGTAATTCTCAAAAAGAAAGCTAGCCTCGCAAAAGATTCTTATCAAATAATACAATGCACCATTGAACTACTGCTTTGGCTGGACTCTGATGGAACCAAATACAGCTATTGTAACTTTTCTGGAAAGTAAGTCAGGTCTCTTCAGAGCTCAGTACAACAAGGCAACCCTCGGCATGGCTTCGAGGACATCCACTGTCCTTCTTTTTCCCAGCAAGATGAAGCCGGTTAAATTTCTCGCAAATAATCTCTCTCAGACTTTAGCACATGAGGCCCTTGGAATTTGAGTCAGTAGAAATGATCTCTTTCAAAAATGTGTTAAACCTGTTTTGGGACAGAAATGTTTATAAGAACTGACATACAGACGTCAAATTACTTCCATCTGTATGAAAGCAAGAGAACATCTCAATAACCTCACTGGCAGTTCATAAAAACACGGTTTTCTGGCCAGGTTCTTTAAATTAATCTCACAAGGCAATGCAAAGCTCTTGTGATTCTGGAAGCACCACCATTCTTTCAAAAAACATTTTGCATGAGGTACGTTTAGTTAGGAGCGTTGCTGAAGCCAACAGATCTAATTTTGTGTCTGGGAAGCATGCTTTGAAGTGTTATCCAAGAGTACTGTCAGAATCCAATTATATTTCATCTCTAGTTATCGACTATGGAAAACCCCATTTCTGCCCTCTCTGGATTCTGTCAGACGATGAAGGGAAGGGGGGTGAACAAAGCGGTTTTATGGCCCTCACTTCCTTTGGTACAACTAAAAAAGGGACTGAATGTGGATACCACCAAAAGGACTAACCATAACAACGGGGCCATCAGCTTTCATCTACTCCCCTCTGAAGTCTCCCTTCCACCAGCAGTGAGGAAAAAGAGGGTGGAAATGTAACGCCTGGGATTGTCACTGGAAGGATGGTGGGGTGGGATTGCTGAGAACCCCTTAAAACCTTGAACCATAGGGCCTGGCCCCCAAGTCCTGTCTAGAATGCCTGCAACCATTTTCTCTTAATAAAAACGAGCACAGGCTATACTGCAATGGGAAGACAAAGTATTCTCTTCCTCTAAAGAATGACTAACCAGAAAAGCATGTAACTTTCAGTCTCAAAATCGTACAAGTGGTTGATTTGTATAAGCATCCATAATATGCTGTTTTGGAAACAGACAAATTGTTACAACACTAAGGAAGCCCCCCACATACTTTTGTAATCACTAAGGGTACAAATAAGGTGTGCCTAATGCCAAATCTAAAGAGAAAGAGAGGCTATTAGCATGCAGAGAATGCTTCTGTAAATATTACCAGGCTTTCCCCAGCAAATACAGAAAGTGGACTGATCAGCTGCTTACATGGTTAAGAAACCGCCCAGCTGCTAGACTGGCAGAACTCCAAAATGTCAGCCAAGTATCTGGAAAAGGGAGAAAGCAACCAGATACATGTGCCAGAATTGATCCAAAGTTAAAAGAGTGAAAATATCAATCCATCTCACCCAGAGCCATGTAATAATATAATAATAACAAAGTTGGAAGGGACCTTGGAGGTCATCTGGTCCAACCTCCTGCTCAGGCAGGAAACCCTATACCATTTCAGACAAATGGCCGTCCAGTCTCTTCTTAAAAACTTCCAGTGGTGGAGCATTCACCACCTCTGGAGGCAGGTTGCTCCACTGGTTAATTGTTCTGACTGTCAGGAAGTTTCTCCTTAGTTCTTGGTTGCTTCTCTCCTTGATTAGTTTCCATCTGTTGCTTCTTATCCTGTCTTCAGGCGCCTTGGAAAATAGCTTCACTCTCTCTTCTTTGTGGCAGCCGCTGAGATATTGGAACGCTGCTATCATGTCCCCCCTCGTCCTTCTCTTCATTAAACTAGACATTCCCAATTCCAGCCACCGTTCCTTATATGCTTTAGCCTCCCAGTCCCTTAATCATCTTTGTTGCTCTTCTCTGTACTCTTTCTAGAGTCTCAACATTTTTTTTACATCGTGGTGACCAAAACTAGATGCAGTATTCCAAGTGTGGCCTTACCAAGGCATTGTAAAGTGGTATTAATACTTCATGAGATCTTGATTCTATCCCTCTGTTAATGCAGCATGTATTCTGCATCTCTCCAGAACTCAGTCTTGGAACCACAGATTCTTAACTGAACAGTTTACAGAATTAGCCTAAGTGTAGTTAGACTTTTACATCAGGCATAGCTTTATCCAAATGTAGGAAATCGTGTGTGGTCAATTTCTCTTACATCTCCTATTCAATGATGCTGTTGATATTGCAATTCAAGAATCACTTTTATAAGACTAATGTTGTAATAACTGATACTTAACAAAGAGTTTCTTATCAGGACTGACTTCTAATGCCAGCAATCAAATTAAATAAGCAGTCAATAAACTAATATTAGACCAACAATCAAGCAATAAACAATACCCCAATCAAGGAGCTACTGACTCAGACAAACTATCAAACAGCAGCTTAAACAAGAAATCACCAGGAACACTCCTACTCACACTGACAGGGCAAGTCACTTGAATATAAATGAGAGCAAACCTCACGCTCATTGGCATTGATGATGTTACCTAGTGGGGTAATGAAACATCTGCAAGAAAACAACCAAACTGGGAGAGCACCAAAGACTCAACAATCCTCCTTTCTAGCATCGATGAAGTTACCTAGTTGGCTAGAAGGGAGGGAACAAGGGTTTTGAGGAAGACTCTGCTTGTAACCCTGTCTTCAGTTCAGGACTGTATGGCTTTGGTATGGACGTGTTTGCTGTCAGCAGCTCTTGGATCTTAATAGTAGCTGCATCCTGTTCTGAGTAACACTACATTGCTACTACTATGACTACTGCTGTTAGTTTATCCCTCTTT